GCGCGAGAGCTTCCAGGCCTGGGGCAGGGAGGGGCGGGGACCCCTGTGGGCAGGGACGGGGCGGGGACCCCTGTGCTCAGGGACGGGGTGGGGACCCCTGTGCTCAGGGAGGCAGTGGGGACCCCTGTGCTCAGGGACGGGGTGGGGACCCCTGTGGGCAGGGACGGGGTGGGGACCCCTGTGGTCAGGGACGGGGCGGGGACCCCTGTGCTCAGGGACGGGGTGGGGACCCCTGTGCTCAGGGAGGCGGTGGGGACCCCTGTGCTCAGGGACGGGGCGGGGACCCCTGTGGTCAGGGACGGGGCGGGGACCCCTGTGCTCAGGGACGGGGCGGGGACCCCTGTGCTCAGGGAGGCGGTGGGGACTCCTGTGCTCAGGGACGGGGTGGGGACCCCTGTGCTCAGGGACGGGGCGGGGACCCCTGTGGTCAGGGACGGGGCGGGGACCCCTGTGCTCAGGGAGGCGGTGGGGACCCCTGTGCTCAGGGACGGGGTGGGAACCCCTGTGGGCAGGGACGGGGTGGGAACCGCTGTGGCTCTGCCTGAGTCAGGGAAGGAGGGGGGACCGCGGAGGCTCCGCCTGGGTCAGGGAAGGAGTGGGGACCGTGGAGGCTCGGCCTGGGTCAGGGAAGGAGTGGGGACCGCGGAGGCTCCGCCTGGGGCAGGGAGGGTGTGGGGACCGCGGAGGCTCGGCCTGGGGCAGGGAGCAGGTGGGGACTCCTATGGCTGTGTGGACCTTCTCGCACTGATGCAGCTCAGGCTGCAGCACTGCCTACACAGCTCTGGGAACAGGCTGACGCTTAAATGTGTACCAGAAATGGGCAGATTTTATGGTATGTGAATTACATCTCAGAACAAATGTTTCACAAAACAGCCTTGACAGTCCACTCTGCCTGGCCCAAGAGCCACCCAGAGGCCTCCAGGCTTGCAGGAACAGCAGGTGGAAGACCTCCCGGTCCCCTTGGGTCTCCAGAGCTCCAGAGACTGTTCTCCCCATCACCTCCCACAGCATGGCCTCAAAGGCCTGCTGGTCAGAGGGAGCCTCAGGCCCAGCCTGGGCCAGGACCAGCCAATGCAAGGATAAGCATGCAGGGAATAGGTCTCAGGGTTTAATTGACTGGTTGGTTCCTGGGACACCTGCCCAAATCTTATTCCAACCTGGATGGAGTGAATCTGAGACTAAGTGAGAAATTTAAAGCAATTAATTTTAAATGGTCACAGCTTTACCAAAAGCTGTGGCTATGGTTTCCTCCTGACTTTGATTATAACCTTCCAGCAAAACATTCGCCTCGCCAAAGCAAGTCTGCATTATTTTCTATTCCTAGCATGACTAGAAAATATTCTTTGATTTAACATTTGATATGTTTTGTTCTCAAGGGCAAGCCCCATGAGAAGAAAAATGTACCCCAGCAGAATGAGATATGACTACCTACTTCCATTTTTCTTCCTGGTTGGTTCCTGCTCAAATATTCTGCATTCATTTAAACTCGAGGGCACGTCTCTGACGTTACACAGTTCCTACACAAAGTCACCTGCTGGCCAGCGGCCTCTGCTGCAGGCAGAGCTTGACTGGGGTCTCCTAGAGACGCCGAGGGCTCCGGGCTTGGAAGAAGGGGTCCTACCCAGCGCACACCGAGGAGCAGGGGACGAAAGCCAATGGATTCTAGGAGCCAAAGGAGTTAGAGCTGAGGAGGTGCCTCCACTTGTATCATCACCCTTAAACATGCCTCAGCATTTGAGGACAAGCGCAAGATGCCATAACTCAACACAACGAATTTCTAGACAGATCCATGAAAGACTAGGGGTGGAGAAAACAAGAAGTGTCTTCTTGCTTGGTTGGTTTTGCATGAGAACAACACTTGAATTCCTGGGGTGGCTGGCCCCCCGTGTGGCACCTCTGCTTGGGCCACGCGGCCTGCTTGGTGCTAAATGCAGACGGCCAATGAGTAGAGTCAAAACCTGGGGGAAACGCATGGTCATTTGCACATGGGCCTTCTCGGGGGTCCAAAGAGAGCATCGCAGACAGGCTGCAGGCATGCTCCTGGAGAGAGCGGCTGAAGGCATGGTGCTGTTCCATGCTGTCCTGTGAGCTCGGAGACGTGGAAGAACAGAGAACGGAAGAAGCTTAAACGTCATAAAGAATGCTCCCCACCAGCCGGCAGAGACAGGCTCCCGGGGGCTGCCCACTGCCCTCCAAGGCTAGGAACCCCAGTCACACGCCTAAGGCTGTGACAGCTCAGTAGCTCTGGCCACGCAGGCCCAGAGCGGGGCAAGCCCGGCGGAAGCACCGCTGAAGCGGGGCACAGGGGCTGGTGATCAGGGCGATGGTCGGGCACAGAGCGGCCGTTCATTACCCACAGGCAGAGGAGACCGGGCGACACTGCGCTGTTAATCCTAGCAGCCACAGACGACTACAGATGGCCAAGCCCAGCCGCCAGCATTTGTCAGACCTCCTCCTTCCTGCCAGGGCAAGAGCGAGGATGGGTCCAAGTCCCTCACCCCCACCCAAGCCCCATCACTGAATCTTGCCGAAGTTCTCACTCTGAAAGATTTATACTCTAGAACGGATCAGAGGAGAATACTGCCCAGAAACACCATCACAGGGCTAGGGCGGATGGGCACCGTGTCCGCTCACACTGGGAGAGCCACCGCTCCGTGGGCCGGTCAGCACGGCTCGGAACGAGCTCTCACCCTCTGCTCTCTGCCCTGCTGTCAGCCCGCAGAGGCAGGGCACCCTGCTGGTGACCTGTCACCGCCCCTGACAGCCTCGGGCTGGCACACGGCTTCATTTATTCGGAACTCACCGAGTGCTTCCCACAGGCCTGGCCCTGGTCACGGCACTGCAGACACCCTGGTGAGACTGGCACTGTTCCCGCTGGCTCCCACAGAGGACAGAGAACCTCAACAAGCGAGACCACCAAGCTCATCAGACAGCACAGAGGGCTCACGGGAAACAACAGGATACGAGAAGGCAGGAGGGCAAAGAGCCAGGGACACTGGGTCAGTAGGTCCGAGGGGGCCTATCCGAGGAGGTGACGCTCAAGCTGAGACTCAGGTGAGGACGAGTCAGATGGTCCGAGAGGGGGGAGCAACAGGCGCAAGACTGGCCCATCCGACAAGGAGAAGGCCAGTGCGGCCGGAGGGCAGGAGACAGGGACGGACACAGGCCAGACCGTGGCTCCCATGAGGGCAACGAGCAGCCTCAGGACACTCTTGAGGCTGAGAGCTGACCTGATCTGACGAGCACCCATCCACTGCGTGAAGGATGAGCCGAGGGAGGAGGAGAGGGCCCGTGGTCCAGGGAGGAAGGACAAGGTCCAGGGCACAGAAGCCAGGACTCAGCCTCTGGAGCCATCTCGAGAAGACCAGGACGTGTGAAGCCTGTGCGTCATGAGGGTAACGCGGGGGTTCACAGACCCAGGTCCCGGGCAGCAGAGCGGCTTCCAACCCCTGTCCAGGGAACTCCAGTTTCCTCAGTGGAAAGATGGGGCCGCAGTCCCCCAACACGCCCCTCCACTCAGCATTGCTGCACAGACACAGGTTTGTAGCCACAGGCTGGCAGACACTCAAACGCATTCCCTTCCATTCAAAAGGAAAAGCCACTTTTTTCCCACTTCCCCGAGGGGAAGGTGGGCATCTGATCTACTGAAGGAAGAAGAGCAGCAGCCTGGGGCCCATCGCCTCCATGTGCTCAGGTCTTGCGTTAACACCCGTAAGATGTGCCTCCATTTCCTCTCCTGAAAACAGGAAATGATCTCAGACTGCCCGCAGCATGGACCAGTCGGGAGGCGACAAGGTGGAAGTGTTTGACACTCATCGTACAGTCGGGGACCCCTATGCTCAATGACGCCGTCCACCAGCAAGCCAATGAGACCATCTGAACAATCTGTGCCCGTGGGCCCAGGGAGTGCCGTCAGAAGGAACAGGAGGAGAAGACAGGTGGGAGATACCAGGGTCCTGGGTCCACAGTGAGAAGGAAGGGTGTCTGAGCTACTCACACTTTGTGCCACGTGCTTGCGTTAAAGCACCATTCTTCTATATAAAAGGAACATGTTTTAAAGCCCTGTCCGTGGAGTCCAGTGTACTGCAGTGGGTGTGAAAAGGTAATTCCCCAGAGGTACACTAGCGACTTCCTCTGGAGGGACGGGAGGGGTAAGCAGCGGCCTTCTACTTGGGCTGTGATGTTCTATTTCTAAAGGAGTAGAATGTACTCATGTACTACGTGTACTGTTAAAGTTAATGAAACGGTACATCAGAGGAGGGCATCTGAGAAGTACCACCAAGACCCTCTGCCCAGCCATGTCCGTTCCAGGGGCTCTCCTTACAGACACACAAGCCCGCCCACCAAAGACGTCTGTTCTAGAAAACTCACTGAAGAAGCATCGTGAGCAAAAATGGCAAAGGACATAAATGTCCATCATTAAGACATTAAGAAAATGGTGGTGCCAGTGCACTACGGATTTTCACGTGACGCTGAAAAACAATGATGTATTGTGGTGTCTGTGTGCACTCGGCTGCTCAGTCGTGTCCGACCCTTTGAGACCCCATGGACTGTAGCCCACCAGGCTCCTCTGTCCGCGGGCTTCTCCAGGCAAGAACACTGGAGTGGGTGCTGCTTTACATATAGAGACGGCAGCTTGGAGTATCCAGTGAAATAGCGCATGCGGTGTTACCATTTTGTTTACAAAAAAAAAGAAAAGGAAGAACAAGAAGAGGAGGGGGTCGACGTATACACAGGCGCCCTGTCTCCAAGTGGAGCTCCCGGAAACGGAAACGGCGCGGGAGGGGGCGGCGGCCGACTCCAGGGACGGGCAACGGGGCACCAGCGGACAGCGAGTGGACGCCTTCCGGGCACCGTGCGGGTCTCTGAGCTTCCCCGACTTGGGCTGCGAACGAGTGGGCAAGTGTGTCACGCACACACGTGGTAAAAAGACCTAAAACGCTCGGCGTCGCCGGGGCGCACCCCGCCCCCTCCCGCCCCCCGGGCCCCGCCGCGCTCACCGCCGATGATGGTCCGGATGAGGGACGCGTGCCCCGGGCAGTCGACCAGCGTGACCTGCAGCTGCGGCTCGGGCTCGGGCTCGGGCCCCGCCCCCGGCGCCGGCCGCAGGTGCGCGGGCAGCGGCACCGAGAAACACGAGAAGCCCAGGTCGAGCGTGATGCCGCGCTCGCGGCTCTGCGGCTGCTTGTCGAAGGCGGCGGTGGAGGCCGTGGTGCTGAGCGCGCGCGCCAGCGCCGTCTTGCCGCTGTCGATGTGGCCCAGGACGCCCACGTTCACGTTCACCCGCCGGCCCGCCATGCCGCCGCCGGTCCGCCCGCGAAGCCGGCCCCGCCGCCGCCCGCGCCCGGCTCGCGCGTTCCGCCGCCAAAGCTTCCGGCCCCTGTCCGCCCGCCGGGGCGCCGGGGCGCCGGGGCCGCCAAAGCGCCAGACTGGAAGCAAACGCTGTGTGTCCGCGGACGTCCCGGGCTGGGCCCTCACGCTCTGGAAGTGCCGCCCACAGGAAAGGGGTGGCCCACGGCCAGCGGCACGGACCACACTTCCAAATGCCTGCCTGAGCCCGGCAGGTGGCTCTCAGGAGAGAGATCGGCAGAGTTTAAAGTGCCCAGAGGGGTCCTGCATGGACGGGTGCCGCTGCTCATCTTCAGCCAAGCGGCACCGGTTGGGACTACCAGCCCCGCCTGTCAAGAGTGTTTCTGTATGAAATCCCAGGAACATTTGCCTGGTGAACCCCTGAGTCTTGGGGCTGTGGGCTGCCGCCATGACCTGGCCGGACTTACACCCAAGCGCTCACAGGCGGCCGGGCTGCGGCTTTAGGCCAGGTCTTCCTGTCTCCAGCCCCACCGGCAGCCGGCTCACACGCAGCTGCTTCCCCAGCAGTGGGCCTCGGGGTGGGGCCTGAGCCCCTTTGGGGAGTCCAGCCCCATCTCCACAAGCGCCAAGGAGATGGCAGCTGTGGGTTGTCTGAAAGTCGGCCAGATTGACTGTATCCTGGGGGCGCGGTGAGCACCCAGCGGGGAAGCAGAGAGCTCTGCCTCGGCAGGGGTGCCAGGAGGAGTGTGGGGGACATCCCGCAGGAACTGGAGTGCCGTTGCCGGCAAGAGGCAGGTCCCATCACGCCTGCCTCTCTGTCCTTTGCCTCTGTGCTGGCTTCTACCCCAGGGAAGCCACTTTGCTTTAGATCAGATGCTCTGCTGATCGCCCCTGTCCCAGTGGGCTGAGGACCCTTGCACATCTTTGCTTGCCCCGAGGCGGGCACATGCAAACCATTTCTTGAGTGGAGCCACCCCGAAACCTCTAGCCCACAAAGACACCCTCCTCTGCTGCAAACTCCTGAGTCCCAGCCTGGGTTCCAAGGCTGGGCCCAGTCCCTGGGAAATGATTGACAGGGAGCAGCCTGCAGAACTGCGATTATTTGGGATTTCTTCTCAATGTTAATGCAATGCTGGTTCCTTTCTGTTCTTTTAATGCTATTTTGTATTAAGGTAGTTCAAAGTTCTTTACAAACAGCTAGTAATTAATTCAACTTCATTAAGGCCAATTAATCCAGGATTAATTATAAATTTGCCCAGAGGAAGTTATTATACTTTGCTCTTTGATTTGAGTTTTGGCTTTAAATATTCTTTCAGGAGTGAAATGGAAATTTCCGTCTTCTCTGAGGCCATCCACCTTGCTGGTGACTGTGTTAACCATGTACCTTCCTCGGATCAGGTCGTCACCAGGCCAGCACTGTGCTCCACGGCACTGCCAGCGCTGAGCAGCTCTGGTAATGCCCCCTTAGCTTCAGGGTGGGAGCTGTTGTCCCGGCAAGAACTGGTCCCCACAAGCTGGAATCATGCCGTGTGTGTGCCCCCGCACCCCCCACCTAGTTTCTTCCACCTGAATATGGATACAAGCTCTTTAAGTTCTGCAGGGTTCGGGGTCCTCTCCCTCTTCTCCTGTAAGCCTTCTCAACTGTTGTCGGAGGCATCACACTCTTCTCTTCCGGGTCACCATGGGGGCTGACCCCACTCTAGCTCCAGGGATGGACCTGAGACTCCGGTTCCTTTCACTAGCCATGGCCACTGGTTCGGCAGTGAGCGTGTGACCCAAGTTAGCACAATCAGAGAAAAACCTGAAATCTTTTTCCAGGACAAGCAGTACAAACGTATGCTCTCTGATACGGACTAAAACCTGTGGAAATCAGTCTGGACTGTGACAGGACCCCTGTGGGGGAGGCTGGCTGTGCAGAACAGTGACCTCCAAAGATGTCCACATCTTGGAACCTGTGACAGAGTTGGCCTGCATGGTAACAAGACCTGGCGTGTGTGACTCAGTTAAAGATCTTGAGATGAGGTTGAGGTGGGAGTCTTACCCCAGATTATCCCGTGGGCCCTGGGAGGGAGGAGGGAGAGAAGGAGCCAGAGACGGTGAAATGAGAAGACGTTGCTGGCCATTACTGTCTCTAACGGTGGAAGCGGGACATGAGCCCAGGAGGTGGGCAGGCTGTGGAAGCTGGAAACCCAGCCTGGGGGAGCGCCCCTGAGCCCTCAGAAAGGAACCCAGCCTGCCCACACCTGGGCTTTAGCCCAGTGGGGCCTGTTCTGGACACTGATAGGCAGAACTGTAACAGGATCCATGTGAGTTGTCTTATGACACTGTTTGTAGGAATTGGTTACTGCAGATATAGTAAATGAATACAGACATCTAACTAGACTGTGGTGTCTATTTTCACATTTATTAAATTAGTGAATGGCTCATAATTCCCTCCCACCTGGTCAGAGGATCACAGTCTGACAGCTAAGACTTTACACCGGAAACAGCCTGACGGCCTGTCCTCTGGTCTGACCACATTCCCCTGACCTCTGACCCCGCTGCCACAAGACACCAGTGGGATGGGGGGGTGCAGCCGGAGCCCTGGGGACCTGCAGGCTTCAGCTACTTCCCCAGCATTTACTGCCAGGTTCCACTGCTGCAGTGGGGCAAGTCTGCTGGCATGAAGACAGGTCCCAGCAGAGGCGGCTGGCTGAGCTGACCCCAGCCCCAGGCTCCACAGCAATTCCCAGGAGAGTCCTCGGGGGAAAGCAGGGCAAGATGACTGGAAGGCAGCACACACACGAGGCAGATGGCAAAGGGGCCGAGAGCCCACGCCTTTGCGTTGCGGAGCTATGATACCACTTTCTGTGCCGCTTCCAGTGCTCAAGCCCGGCGCAGAGATCCCACTGACTTCTCTGAGTAACCCTCGGAGGTGCTGTGAGGGCTGTTTCACAGGAGAGGGAGCAGGGCCGCGAGAGCGCACTTGTTCAGGCCCTCTGCTCCCTGCCAGCTGATCCCTGTTTCATGTCAGGTTTCTTCAACCCCAATGATATGAGCCATCTTCATCATTTAAGCAAGATCCAGATATACATAGTTTTAAGTTTGACTTCAATAAAAATATTTCCCTATACATGGAAAAACATTATCACTTGCCACAAATAGCTGGGAAAAACAAAAATCTCAATAAAAATTGAGACTAGTAAATATTAAAAAGGGAGAGTCATACTCCACCCCCTAAGATTCACTGGATCAGAATTAAAAAGGCACAGGAATTCCCTGGCCAGCCAATGGTTAGGACGTGGGCTTTTACTGCCAGGAACCGGGATTTAATCCCTGGTTAGGGATCAAGGTCCGATCCAACAAGCTGTGCAGCCAGAAAAATAAAAGTGTTAAAAAAAAAGGATTAAAAAGGCAGTAATGTTCTCACCATGTGGATCAATCTTATTTGGCTGTGTGTCTTTGCACCACCTCCAAGGTGCCAGCAAAATGATCTGTCCCTTCTGTCCCCAGAAATCAACCTGGAGATGAAATAACAAGCATACCAGTGCACTCGGCAACAATCGGAAAGGGAGGTCATTCCAAATGCTGGTAAGAACATGGGAATATAAGAGCAGAGACGAAGCCAATTAGCTTACAAGGGGGCCTCCTTCAACAGGGACTTTCTTTGGCTTTGACTGTGATTGGTTTGGATCTTGGGGGTCATGGCTCTGAAGTGCACCCCAGGCCCCGGGAATTATCTTGCTTATAATCATCGCCATAATCTTCATAGTGCATTGTATTCTGTCAAGCACTTTAAATGCGTGTTCGTAGCCACTAACCACCAAGCAAACGATCCGAGACTGAAACGTCAGGAAAAGAATGAATCTCTGAGTTAAAGAATGTGAACCCGACATCACGAGCTGTGAGCACCACACAGAGGTACAGCAGAAACTGCAAGGGCTCCAGAGCGGGAGCTGAAAGTAGCGCTAATGCCTTAAATTTTTATCGCATCTCTCAGGCTGAGACACTGATCAGAAGGAGGAAATTGTTAAAAAACAAGACAACAGGCCCCAAGTACAGTCACTTATGCTAAGCCCAAAGTCACTAAAACTTAATTCCAGTTTCAGCTCTTTCCCCTGTGAACGGTCTTGACTCCCCTGCTCATATCCTGAGGGTTATTTATGGATTCTCTATTGTTCCATGGTCTGTGTCTGTCCTTATGCCAGCGCTGCACTGTTTGGTCGCCGCAGGCCATTATTAAATGTCCTGTTAGTCAGGATACGCTCTGAGCGCTCAGCGGAGGCTGGAGAACACGAAGGGCGCGTGGCTCCAGGGATTCCCTGAGTGACGGCCTCCTCCACACTCAGCAGTCTCCTCGAGGTGTGGAGAAGGCAGAGGCAGGCTTGACCTGGACCTGTGGGCTCAAAGGCCAGATGTCAAAGAATTCAAAGCAAGGAGGGAGCAGCAGCATTGGAAACCAAGAGGCTGAGATGATCAGGCCTGGATGAAGAAGTGATGGGGTCAAGGGACTGGTGGTGAAAGAGCAAGGGTCAGGGGTTACAGGGAGAGAGCGGGCAGGCCGGCAAGCAAGCCAGGGCCCACACAGCACAAGCTGGGACGCAGCGTCCACCCCGCACCTTGTACGTGTCACTCACAGGCCCGCGGATGGAGACCTAACTCAAGCTATGTGAAGCCCCAAGGTCCTCGCTGTTCACCCTGCAAGTGCACAAGGCTGGATCTGGGATGTGAAGGACTGCCCCAGGAGCCTCTGCCAGTGGACCTTCCCTCTGTGCGGGCTTCACTCTCAGGCGGAGCCTTCCCATGAAGTGGCAAAGACGACCTGGAGACACAGGACCGAGGCTCTTTCCTATTATTTCCCGTAAAGGTGCAGAACTGCATGTCACTGGACTGTCCACTCACATTTCTGAACCAATCACTATTCTGGGGACGAGGGGACACTTTGATCGGCCAGGCCAGGGTCCTGTGTCCATCCCCGAAACAAAGCTGAGGGAGGGCCAGCCCATCTAAGCCATGTGGTGCCCAGAGGAGGAAGGGTGGTTCTCTGCAGAAAATGAGAGTGAGGGGGTCAGGGGGTAAGGATGCTGGGCAGGCATAATAATCAAGTCTACTGCTATGGCCTCACCTACCTTCACGCACTGGCCTACTACATCATCTTCTGCTGAAACAGAAGGAACTGCTTGACTCTGTGGCCAGGTCCAGTTTCTTTGCACCCTGGACCTGGGGTCTAGGCCTGGAAAGGCATTTGCTCAATTTATGATTTTGGACAAACTCCGTCCTCCTTTAGGGCCTCAGTTTCCGCACCTGTAAAAAGAATGCTGGGTCAGATCAGATTTCTGAATCCTTCTTTAGCAGGAAAAAAATGCAACAGCTCTGGTGGAAGAGGAGGTGGGGAAAAAAGTTTCCATTCACTGACAGTAACCATTACCAAGTCTGGTAAGATCCAGCGTGTAAAGTACATGCAGCACAACTGCATGACCCTATGTGTACCTGGGGTTCCAGAACCGGGAAGAAGCCTCAGCTGTGAGCCAGACTGTGTGCCAGACACTGACGTTAAAACGACAAACAGCACGGATGTGGTCTGCGCTTTCACAGTGCCTGCAGTTTAGTGGGAGAGAGTAACACTAACCCAATAGTCATGCAAATAATTGGAAACCTAGACTCAAAAGTTACAATGGAGAAGTACAAGGAGACACGAGTCAGCAACCACTGCAGCAGGATTTGACTTCAGGTCTGTCTCAACCCTGATGCAAAGCTCCCCTGAGCTCTGGGCAAGTCCTTCATTTCTCTGGACCTGAGTCCAATTATCTGTGACATGGCAAAGTACCATCTGCTCCTAAGGACTTTAGCCTACCATCAGGGTTCCGTGCGGGCATTACCATACCACCTCATGGGCCCTTCTCAGCTCTCCAGCTGTTTCAGGTGGCCTGCTCTGGGCTTGCACACCACACCGGTGCACCTGCTCTGGCATCTCACCGTCGCAAGCTTCCCAACTAAGGACTGAGCTTGTTAAGGAGACTTTGCATTTAAGTCTGCATCCCAGTGCGCTGGAGTGTCTGGCTCAGAGCAGGTGCAAACAAATGTTTGTTGAACGGGTGGGTGGATGGGAAGGGTGCACTGTTGCAGGCAGCGCTGACATTATCATGGAAACTGGACAAGACGCAGCCGCGGGATGACCGTCTAATCTGACGAATGGGATGAGGGTTCCACAGGATGCCACTCCTTAAGTCCTCAGCAGGAATTCCAACTGCCCATTACTTGCTGCGCGTTTTTGGGTGAGTTGAGGGGCCTCTTTTCGCCCGCGTCTTCATCCGGACTAGGAATTACACTAAACGTCACCCACAGCCAACTTAAGCTAAGTAAACGGAGAGGTGGAGGAGAGGGAAAGCAGAGGAGGACAGGTCCCCTGAGGAAGCTGAGCACGGCCTCCCCGAAGACGCCGAGAGAAGTGGCCGTCAGAAAACTGCTCAGCCGGCGCAGGTCGAAGCTTAAGTTCTAAACCTGTCTCTTCCTCTCCAATACCGAGGTCGAACTTGAGTTCCGCAGAGCGGTATCGGTTGGAACGCGCTCACGGACCGGAAGGCGCGGTGAAGAGCCGGACGCGCGACCCTAGTAAGCTGCAGCACCGCCCGTCTAATCCCTACCCAGGAAGGAAGCGCCGGCCGCGGGGGAAGCCAACCCCAGGACACCGCCGGAAGCTGGTGGGCGGGCCCTCTGGCAGCCGCGACGGGCGCAGCCAGGAGCCAATGGAGCGCGGAGGCGTTCCCGCCGCGGCCAATGGGACGCCGACCTAGGCGGGACCAACCGCCTGGTAACGGCCTCGTGGTAACAGGGTGCGCGCTGCTTGGGCTTTGCGGGCTCCCCGGCTCCGGTTGTCAGGATGAAGATCGAGGAGGTGAAGAGCACCACTAAGACTCAGCGAATCGCCTCCCACAGCCATGTGAAGGGGCTGGGGCTGGACGACAGCGGCCTGGCCAAGCAAGCGGCTTCGGGACTCGTGGGCCAGGAGAACGCGCGTGAGGTGTGGCGGCGGGCGGCGGGGCCGGGGGCTGAGGGGGCGGGGCTGAGGTGAGGAGACTGAGGCGGGGGCGCTGACGCGGGGCGTGGGGCTGAGGTGGGGACTGAGGTGGGCGTGGGGCTGAAATGGGTACTGAGGTCGGGATTGAGGCGGGGCGTGGGGCTGAGGTGGGGGCGCTGAAGTGGGCCTGGGCGGGGCGGACCTGGGCCCAGACGGTGGGCGCGGCGCGGGGGTCGGCGGGGAGAAAACGGGCAAAATCCCGGCTCTCCCGGACCTTGCGTTTCGGACACAAACGTTTAAACCGCTAAACAGAAGGAGTGTTAGACTTTGGGGATTGATTCTGGAAGGGGGGAGCTCGGCGGGCCCCAAGTTGGGGTTTCTGAGAGCGCATTGGGAGACTCTGGGATTTTAAAGTCGGAAAGTGACCAGCTTTGGCAGGTGACAGGTACCGAGTCCTTTTTGGCCATTCCAGTTAAAGCCCACATCTACTAAGTGATGATGGTGCCCAGTCCTTTCACCTACATTATTATCACAGAACTATTGAGGCTCTTTTTTTTTAACTGTTGTTTTTTGTAGGTGAAAACTTCAGGGTGAGGGACCTGGCCACTCAGTCCACTGGCTGAGTTTACCCGCTGGCCACTCAGTTTAGTAACTGTGCCTGTGTGTTTCTGACTCCTGAGACAGCGCTCTCTGTGTAGTCCCCCTCAGCCGCTTGCCCGTGGGGACCTCTGCTGTGGCTCAGCAGCTATATAAGTCCAGGTTAAGACTCTTGCCCTCTAGCCTAATTGTGCTAAGAAAGGGCCAAAGAGAAGCCTTCATTTTGAACACTATCCTTCCAGAGGGGAAAATGTGACAGGGTTAAGGTGACTGAAGTTTCTCTTTATCCAGCTTCTGCTGTCTGAGAGGCTGTCACTGCAGATAGTTGTTGAATGATCTCCATGTGCTAAGCAGCTCCATTTCCATGGTCTTAGTGTTCTCCTCTATCCTTATATTGTCCCTCCTCTACTTTTTTATGACACTTTTCAGACATATGACAAAGTTGAAAGACTTGTGTACGCATGTGCCTGGTTTCTACAAGTAACATTTTACACCATTGCTTTATCTTCTATCTGCTCATTTATCCATCCAGCAATCTGCCTTTCATTTCAAACTCAGTTGTAGACATTAGTATACTTTACTGTAAATCCATTAGCATTTGTGCCTCTATGTTATGAATTCTGTTTTCGGATGAGGAAATTGTGTTTCACAGAGTTTAGGTTATGGATCTGAGATTACTCAGTTGGTGATTGGTAGAGCTAGGATTTAAAGCCAAGGCAACCTGACTCCAGAATCCATGCTCTTAACTTGGATGCTGTATGCCTCCGTATGAATATGAGCTTCTCAGGGATAGAGACCGGGTGGTGTTAAATATCCAGAACCTGGCTTATTATAGGGACTCAGAATGTATGTACTGATTTATTAGTCATCCCAGCTCTGCTACCAGGTCCTTGTTTTGAGTCTGGTCACTCACCAGCCTCCTTGATGTTTAATAGCCTCATCTGAAAAATGAGAGTTACAGTTTTTTAAAGGCCCTTCCAGTTTATACTTTTTTAAATTTTGGAATTCACTGGAAGTATTTCACTGGAGAGAAGGAGCCTAAGTGGAAGAATATTAAAGGGAAGAGGAAATGTGTGAATAAGAGTACATAGACAAGGCTTGAAAAGTCTTCTACCTCGTTTGAATTGCCCAAAGAGTTCCAATGCTGAGGATTATGATATCAGAGGTCACTATGGAAAGATCACAGTGGCTCTTTTATCTTTTTAAAAATGTGACCTCTGAAGAATATCTTCTAGGCTGTGTAAGTGTACTGTGCTTTTCCAGCTGAGCCAGAAATGGAATAGAGCACATCCACATGTTTTCCTTGAACCCGTGTGTTTGAGGGGCTGTCTTAAGTGTGAGAGCAAGGTATATCTCCGTAGTCCATGGGGGAAAGTGAGAGAAGAGATAAATGTGTTCACAAGACCTTGTCAGCAAGGTACTGCCCAAGGAGAAAAGCTGTGACCTGCCTTGAGACAAATAGAATGCACCTTGTAGAGAGTCATGCTCTAAATCAGTGTAAGAAATCTTGTGTTAACGTAGTCTCGAGGTACAGGTGTTCAGGGAGTATGACTTTCTCAGCCTTGCTCCAATATATTTAAATATTCTAAAATGCATAAAATCAGTGACCCATTTATAGAATTTCTGTATATGTACATACATATATGTGTCAGTATACAGTCTCTTGAACAACATGGGTTTGAACTGCATGAGTCTACCATATGCAGATTTCTTTCAATATATAAGTATTAGGACACTGGCTGCTGTCACAGATATGGAGGGCTGAATGTATAGTTATGTGCTGATTTTCGACTGTGTGGAGATTGCGCATCCCAGCTTCAAGGGTTCGTAGGTCAACTATATATACATATAGATGTATGTGGTTTTATATATATATATATATATATATACATACACACACACATAATGTATATACTGTACAAAATGGCTTAATACTCAGAATATTTAAAATATGCTAACAAATAATTTAATCTTGAGGATTTGAAAGGCATTTCTTGAATCTTATGATGCCATAGATTAAACATCACATGCAGCATTTGCTTGCAGCATTCTGGGATAGTTAACTGATGGCCAAGTAGTAGAATACTAGTACTAGAATCATTGATTCTTAGTACTTAGTGGGTTAATTTGAGAATCTAATGAAGACTGAATCCTCTCCCTGGAAAAATGCACATGTGAACATTTAAACACAGTTTTATGTCCAATTTCTAGAGGGCCCCTGGAGCATATGCCACAGCTCCCATTTCCATTCTCCATATAGCAGCCATCAAGAATCTTTAAAAACAAATCTTCAGAACATGACATGTAGCCTAAGACTTTTTCACTGATTTCCCATTACAGGCAGAATAAAATCCAAACTTGTCTATGGACTGGAAGGTCCTATTCTAAGTTCTGCCCCTCTTGCCTCCACAGCCTCATCTTCCTTGTCTGCTTGTTTTCTGAACTCTGGTTCATGCAGCCTTTCTGTCCCTTGGGTGTGCCAAGCTCATTCCTGGATTTTGAATTGCCAGGAACACTGACTTCCGCCCTGCCTGGAGTTTCATGTATCAGATAAAATGTCGAAGAGGTCTCCCCAGATCACCCTACAGAGTGACCTCTGCCCCCAGCCACTTGCCGTTTCGTTGCCCTTTTATCTTCATGGTGATGTTGTGTTTGTCTCCACTAGGATTGGAGCTCTGTGGGCCTCATGGCCGCCAGCACCTAGAGCAGCCCCTGTGGCGTCCTGGCCTCCGTGAATGAGTCTGGGAATTGTGTGTGCCAGAGACTGGGCTTTTTCCTCCTGTGAAGCATTGTAATATTGATTTACTATTTCTTTCCATTGTGCTGTCTAGGCATGTGGTGTGATAGTAGAATTAATCAAAAGCAAGAAAATGGCTGGAAGAGCTGTCTTGTTGGCAGGACCTCCTGGAACTGGCAAGGTACTCATTTTCTCTCATTTTAAAAATCTGCCCAAGAGGTTGATCTTAATGTCTAAACCAAATTGAATTTGTGTCTTAACTAGTCTTTGTTTAGCTGAATTGGTTATATGTATGTTTTTAAAACTGATGTGCAATAATACAATTGAGTATCTAAAATCCATGCTTCTAAAATTCAAATTATCCTGGCTGACCTCCAGAGAAAAGAGAATGAAGTCCTCAGAGGGGTCTCATTGTCTGTAATTTGTCTTTTATCTCTTTAAAGTCTCCTTTGCTTTGGAAATACATTTCTGTTGGCCTAGGGCGTCATAAAATCTTGGGAGTGACATCTTACTTGGGAGGGAAAGAAGATCGGTCAGCAGGCAATTTTCCAAATGCTGACTTGACGCAACACTTCTTCTGACTGTGAGAGATGGCAGGAGAAGGGAAAAAGAATTTTATCTTCAAGGAATTTTTATCTCCAGGGGCCTCATAGGCTCTCCAGGGCAGAGAGGAAACCATGGCAGCAGGGAAGTCTTCAGTTGAGCACTGAGCTGCAGGGCATCTCCTGGCCATAAATGCAACTGGCGTTGCAGCAGAAGGTGGCGCTTGGGCTGGTATGGCTGGAGGAGTTGAGGCTTGACATTTGCTCTTGAAGCTGGGAGAGGGTTTGGCTTTGCAGGAAAGAAAAGGGCCTTCTAGGCCGAGATGCCTAACAGCTTGTGGGATCTGTGAGGGGCTTGGCCGGGTGCTTGAAACACACCATCTGGGCCTGCTTGTTCTTTAAGAGCGCTGCTTGATGCTTCCCTCATAGCTCAGTTGGTAAAGAATCCACCTGCAATGCAGGAGACCCGGTTTGATTCCTGGGTCTGGAAGATCTGCTGGAGAAGGGATAGGCTACTCACTCCAGTATTCTTGGGCTTCTCTTAGGGTTCAGCTGGTAAAGAATCCACCTGCAATGTGGGAGATCTGGATTGATTCCCTGGGTTGGGAAGATCCTCTGGAGAAGGGAAAGGCTACCCACTCCAGTATTCTGGCCTGGAGAATCCCATGGACTGTATAGTCCATGAGGTCGCAAAGAGTTGGACACAACTGAGCAACTCACTCACTCACTCGATGCAGGAGAGGAGAAGCTTGGGAGTGAGTTTGTAAAGAAAGGGGTTCCACCCTGGTGCTGAGACCCCGGGCAGGTCCCTTAGGCTTTTTGAAGCAGTAGCACCGCCCTCCCTGTTGAAGAGTTATTAAACTGGTAGTTATGAGATGATGACTTTATCATTTTGAAGTCATATGATTGAATTGACAGTATATCTTATATTGGTGTCTTAAAGTTGAGGGAAAAGTGCTGTATTTGTGAACAAGTAAACTTTAAAGGGCTGTACACGTGAACTTCAGTTCCCTCTCTGCTCTTCACTGTGTGTGTGTTAGCTGCCCAGTTGTGTCCAACTCCATGCAGCCCCATGGACTATAGCCCACCAGGCTCCTCTGTCCATGAGATTTCCCAGGCAAGAATACTGGAGTGGTTGCCGTTCCTTCTCAAGGTTCATCACTATATTTACCGTTTATTTGCTTACTGTCCTTTTCATATCTTAGACCTTTGCTCTCCTTCCATTTTCTTCTTCCTAAACCACATTGTTAAGAAGTTCCTTCTAGAAGTTTGTTGGTGGCAAAGTCAGGTTTGTGTTAATTGTGTTGCCCTTGTTTTGAAAGATAGTTTTGTTAGATATATCATTCAGCTGACAGATGCTTTCTCTCAGTGCTGTTTCTCAATGGTATATCCTACCTTTTGGCTACTAGTGTTGCTTTTGAGAAGATTAATTTTGAGGATTTTGTCTTTTTTCTCTGGGTGTTTTTGGGATATTTTTTGGTTTTGGTGTTTTACTATGGTATGTCAAAGAGTGGATTTATTTTCATTTATCCTGCTTGATATAGATCTGAGTATGTAATATATCTAATCAGTTCTGGGAACTGACTAGCCTTGTTTTCCTCAGATGCTGCCTTTCTCTGGTCTCTTTACTCTCCTGAAGTCCAGTGAGCTGATGCTCCACTGCAGAGGTCCTCTGTCTGGACCACCTTTGCCCTCTGGGACCCTTTGGCCCTGTCCTGACACTTTGGACTGTTGCACTTGGTGGGACAGCGAGTGCTTCTGGCATCTTGTGGGTGGAGGCCATGGGGCCTGCAGGGCACCCTGCAGAGCAGAGAGCGGTCCCTACGGCGAGTTCTCCAGCCTGAAGCGCCCTGGGCCAGAGCCTCTCGGCTTGTGCTCAGCGTCTGTGACCTCTTCTATGTTTCTGTTTCTTTGCCTCTGCTGCATCCTGGGAAGCTTCTTCAGATCTCTCTTCTAGTCTGCCTTGTAACCTGCAACAAAGCTACTCTTCAGTACAGTCCATTGAATAGTTTCATTTTGAAAAGTTTGAAATCTACAAAAGAGTGGAAAGAACAGTTTGGTGAACCCCTCTGTACCCTACTCATAGGTAACTAATGGTAAATATTTTGTGATATTTGTGTTTTCTGTATTTTACTTCTAAACCATTTGAAGGTAAGTGCCAGGACCTTCTCTGCCATGATACTGTTATCCACCCAAGGAATGTAATGTTGCTAATAGTATTAGCTAATTATTTAGTTCATATTAAAATATCTGTAAGTTGTTTCAGTTTTTGGCTCTTTCATTTTTTGTGCTTCTTTTTTTTGTTTGTTTCATTTTGTTTTCATTTTTTATACTTCTTATTTGAATTATAATCACATACTTCACGTTGCATTCACAATAGTTTATTTAATCTCTTTATCGAGAACATTTACCCTTCCCTGCATGTTTTTGATTCCTTTTACAATGTTGACAGTTTTGAAAAGTCTAGGACAGTTGTTTTGTAGAATATCCTACTTCAGTTGTCTGATTGTGTCTGAAACATTCAGCACTTTGGCAGAACGCTGCATAGGTGGTATTGTGTCTGGAACCTGCATCACAGTTTAAGGCTGACACCACACCATGTTCTCCTTTGAGGGGACTGGCTCCCTCTGAAACTCACAATCTTCTGGGAAGTGACACTGAGATGTTGGGAACATCCTTTTACCCGATGGCTGTAGCATTCTTCAGTGGTCTTTGCCTTATCAGTTATCGCATTGGTGGTTGCAGAATGGTGACTTTCCAGATCTCTTGCACCCTCTGTTAGTGCATATGTGCTGTGCTGTGTCTAGCTGCTCAGTCGTGTCCAGCTGTTTGTGGCCCCACGGACTCTAGCCCGCCAGACTCCTCTGTCTGTGGGGATTCTCCAGGCAAGAATACTGCAATGGGCTGCCATGCCCGCCTCATTAATACATATATTAGCTTGCTTTTTTTTTTCTTTTTACTTTTTTTTGTAATGAAGAAGCCTCTCCCTCCTCCTCTTATTTTAAAATTTTTCATTTCTTCAAAATCTGGCTATTTTTGATAGCCTCTTGTTTCTTGTTCATGGAACAATTTCTTATTCATTTTATATCCTGTGTCTGCTTGTGGACTTGTGTTTGATCAAATCTGAGGCTCCCCTGATCTCCTGATTAGGGCCGAGTACTTCCTGAGGGGACTTGTGAGGGGCTCTGCTTGCTCCCAGCCCAGAGCACGTGATGGGAATTTTGTGGCTTGGGTTTTCTGGCCATCAGGCCATATAGAGTCCAGCCCTGAAGCTGTCTGAGAGCCTACTAGGGTGACTTCCTCAGGCAGAGCTGCGCTGAGACTGACGAGCTCGTCCTCGGCCCTTGGAGAGTTTCTTTGTGGTCAGCTTGTCTACTGACATATCCATGGTTTCTGGCATCTATCAAACACACGCCCAGCCCTCCCGGCATGGTAGTTTTTCTCTCTGGATCTGTCTTGACTGTTTACTCATTCTGGATGTTTTGTAGCAGGAAGGAGTGGCTGTGGCTCTCTTGGCCAGTTTGCTGGAACCATGGGTCCTTGGTGCTTTGGTAACATCATACCATTTTCCTTCTAGGAGATATGAGAGGCTCTCAGCACCTATGGGTTGTCCAGTCCCTCTCCACATGTTCAAAGCATGTGGTAACTCTCCTGTGTTACTGTGAGCCCATGGGCCTCAAGGTTTAGGCAACTTAGCTGAGTGGCTGGCAGGAGTGTGGTGCTTGTTCAGAATGTGGCCATTCCTATCTTAAGGCTGCACACTCATAATAATGGGGCTTTGTGTTCGGGTTTTAGAAAAAGGTGTTCATATGAGACTGACAATAAATTTGATTTTTTAATCTTTTGGCAACAATATCTGTGTGCTACTTGCTTGGGGGTGGTCATGTAGAAGTAGGTCCTGGAGATTGGGGTTTGCATTCTGACCCTGATGCTTACTAACTTACTTTGAGTGAGTTGGAAATTTCTGAGTTTCAGTTTCTAAATCCATAAAATGTGAAGTAGATCATCAAGTTCATAGGCTGGTTGGGAGGGTTCAGCGGGATCTCTTGTGCTAGCCAGTCAGTTTGTCAGTTCAGTCAGTCTGCCATAAGGGTGGTGTCATCAGTATGCGACTCTTTTGACCCCATGGACTGCAGCATGCCAGGCTTCCCTGCCTATCACCAACTCCTGGACTCGCCATCCATTGAGTCGGTGATGCCATACAACCGTCTCATCCTCTATTGTCCCCTTCTCTTCCTGCCTTCAATCTTTCCCAGCGTCAAGGTCTTTTCCAATGAGCCAGGTCTTTGCATCAGGTGGCCAGAGTATTGGAGCTTCAGCTTCAGAATCAGTTCTTCCAGTGAATAATCAGGACTGTTTTCCTTTAGGATTGACTGTTTTGATCTCCTCGCAGTCCAAAGGACTCTCAAGAGTCTTCTCCAGTACCACAGTTCAAAAGCATCAATTCTTTTGTGCTCAGCTTTCTTTATAGTCCAACTCTCATATCCATACATGACTACTGGAAAAACCATAGCTTTGACTATAGGGACCTTTGTTGGCAAAGTAATGTTTCTGCCTTTTAATATGCTGACGATGCTTGTCACAGCTTTTCTTCCAGGGAGGAAGTGTCTTTCAATTTCATGGCTGCAGTCACCATCTACAGTGATTTTGGAGCCCAAGAAAATAAAGTCTCTCACTGTTTCCATTGTTTCCCCATCTATTTGCCATTAAGTGATGGGACCACATGCCATGATCTTTGTGTTTTGAATGTTGAGTTTTAAGCCAGCTTTTTCACTCTCCTCTTTTACTTTCATCAAGAGTCACTTTAGTTCTTCTTCAGTTTCTGCCATAAGGGTGGTGTCATCTGCATATCAGAGGTTAATGATATTTCTTGCAGCAATCTTGATTACAGCTTGGGCTTCATCCAGCCCAGCATTTCGCATGATGTACCCTTCATATAAATTAAATAAGCAGGGTGACAATATACAAGCTTGACATACTCCTTTCCCAATTTGGAACCAGTCCATTGTTCCATGTTTGGTTCTAACTGTTGCTTCTTGACCTGCATACAGATTTCTCAGGAAGCAGGTAAGGTGGTCTGGTATTCCCATCTCTTGGAGAATTTTCCAGTTTGTTGTGATCCACACAGTCAAAGGCTTTAGCATAGTCAGTGAAGCAGAAATAGATGTTTTCCTGGAACTCTCTTGCTTTTCTGTGATCCAGCGGATGTTGGCAATCTGATCTCTGGTCCCTCTGCTTTTTCTGAATCCAGTGTGAACCTCTGGAGGTTCCCAGCTCACGTCACACAGTCTTGGTGCAAGTCACCCTGTCCTGTATAGCAGGTGCGGGTACAGTCCATGCAGTAGCCACGTCTTAGCCACGTCTTGTGCCATCCTTCTGAGAACCTTTAAGTGGAAGGAACTGGACCCCCTCGAGGCATTTCTTAACCACGCAGTTCTCGTATGTTACAGGAATAGACAGGTCATTTCTTCTGTATTTGGCTGTGGTGGGGGTCTGCACTGCAACAGGTGTGGCACTGTCTTTGAGTTCACAACTGAGGGAGGGGAGTTGGGGCCTGTAGTGTTGAGGGAAGAGAAAGAAGAGTGACTGGAAGGTGAGCAGTTTGGATGGAAGGTGGGCCTGGCTGGCCTGCGGCTCTTCCCACAGGAATCCTGTTTGAGCGTGCTGCTACCCTGCCGTCGTGCTCTAGAGATTTCCCCTTCATTCTCAGAACACAGGAGAGCACAGCTCTAGAAATATCAGCCTCGAGGGCACAGACTCAGATGCCTGCTCGCATGGGCGGTGGGGCTGAGGGGAGCGCCCAGGAGCCAGTACGAGCCCTCTCTGGGGAGGCAGCTGCCCGGGTATCTGCTCGATATGGTCACTGGGGCCCGTTGTGGCCAGAGCTGCCTGCTTCTCAGAAGAAGCTAAATAACTGTATTTTTCTGTGAAATTTCCATACATTCAAGCGTGGGCAACAACTAAGTTGAAAAACACACCTGAGAGTCTGCAGGCCAAAATAGGAGCAGTCTGTGGGCAGTCAGCTTGCTACCAGTAACTAACCCAGGACTTTGATTTGACAGATGAGAAAGTCAGGCACCAGGCTGGCCCATGTGCTCAGGGTCACACTGAAGATTAAACCATCAGCAATGAACAGAAGAGGAATTTTTACTGGGCCAGTTTTAAAACTCAGCGGTCCTTACCATTCTTCAGCAGCAAGCTTCTTGCCTTGCGTAGCCTGTGCGCTTTGGGGGCTGACCTGGCCTGGGCTTTTGTGTCAGAGCTGAGGAAAGCTGAAAGCAGCATTTAAGGTTCTGGCTCTTCACACTTGATGTTTGATCATATATCTGTTAAGTCTTCATCTGTTCAGCAGCTGTAGTTTTTAGCAAAAGTCTTTTTGTAGTTTATATGGGCATGTTCAAGTGTGACTTTACCAACTCATAGCCTCAGAATCCCAGCCTGGGTGTCATTCTTCATGGTTTGTGGGGCCACTCAGCATAAAGTGAGCATCCAGTCATTTGTGCCTTGATGACTTATTTCTGATGGGCTGTAGTTGATGGCTTCCTGAGTCTGTAAAGATAGAAAGCAGTATCTCAGAGACCCAGCAGAGCTATTCTACTGCGACGTGGTCAGAACCATGTTTTGACATTGAGGGAACAGTTTTGGAAGCCTCTGCTGATTCTCATGGGAACATGATCTCTGGAACCGTGCTGTCAGACTTTGAGGCTCCACTCTGCCATTTTCTAGATTACGGTACCAAGGACGAGTTATTTAATCTGTGTCTCAGCTTCCTCATTTGTGAAATGGGGAGAATAGTGGTGTCCAGCTCATAGGGTTAGTGGGAGGGGCCCGTGCAGCATCGAGAGCTGGACCTGTACTGGCCGAGTCTCAGTCGTGACAGCCATTGTGATGACAGGGACCATTGGAGATGCCACTCACACTAGAAATTGAGTGTCCACAAGAGTCATCACATGGTTATTGTGAAACATGCAAACAGTATTAAAACTAAAAGGACTAGAATTTCAGTCCCTAGTTAATAATTTCTGTTTCTAGCATATGTTCCTGAATTATTATATTTCAAGAATGTGAAACAAGTGCATTTCCTTTGTTTTCTTGTGTAGACAGCTCTAGCTCTGGCTATTGCTCAGGAGCTAGGGAGTAAGGTCCCTTTCTGCCCGATGGTGGGGAGTGAAGTATACTCCACGGAGATCAAGAAGACGGAAGTGCTGATGGAGAACTTCCGCAGGGCCATTGGTGAGTACCCGCCCACGCCTGCCAAGGCTTGTCCTCACCTGCAACCTCCTGGCGAAAATGCCTCTAGGACTTGTATTTGTGGTGCTGCTCTTTTTCTTTTGGCACCATTAGTGTTGTCTTTGCAAATGAAACAAAACCCCAGTTTTTCTAGAAAAGTGCTTTAGCGACCAGCAAACGTGGGCCCCAGCTATGGTTTGGGGTTTCATCTGACAGAGTAGGTTCTCCTGGCAGCCTCCTTGTGCTTTCAGAGCTGACAGTCTACTGAGAAGGCCCTGGACATGAGCCAGCAGCGCTGTGTGCTGTGCCGTCAGAGCGCCTGGCCCGCGTGCGCGCCGCCAGCGAGCCAGGAGCTGTGTGGGGCTGCAGGGCTCTGAGGCGGTGGCGCTGGCCTCGCAGGGCCTGGAGCTCCCATGCTGAAGGCTTGCGACGTGTCGGGCCTTCTACTCACCGAGACCTTTTACTGCCCAAGAGGAAGGTCTCTGCGTTTTGCATCTGACAAAACAGAGTTTCATAAAGTTAAATAACTTGCCTGTGGTGATCTACCTAGCAAGTAGCAGCAGAACCGTAGTCTGAGCCTACAGCTGCCTGACCCTGGGGCCCGTGCTGTGACTCCATACTTCGAGCATAAAGTGACTGCTCTTCCGAAACGTCCCTTATTCCAGCCAGCACTTCTGGGGCATTCTCCTGGCCCCATGCCTGCGGGCCTGGGTCTGGGGAAATCTTAGTCTCCCTCAGACCTGCATTTATCTCTAGGATGTACTTGCCGCGTGATAGGTTATGAACACTTGTCAGAGCACCTGTGTCATTGTGTAGTACCTTTCAAGAGGGACTAGAAAACTTAAGTTTTCTTCAGAGTTTAAGAAAGAATGAATTTGTCTAAGCCCAGAATTCTTTCCTCAAGAATCTAGCGTCTAGTTTAAGGGTGTGTTGAATAGGGCTTTTGCAGATTATGCTGAGTGAAAAGAGATGCAGTTGAAGAGTGGTTTTGGGTTCACGAGAATCCCTCCGGCTGGGATGGAGAGTGAGGGCAGAAGCACGGAGCTGATGAGCGGTCTGAGCGAGAGGTGGTGGGGTGTGGGCCAGCCTGGTGGAGGTAGAAAGAAATGGTTGGATTCTGGGTGCGGTTGGATGGTGGAGCGATGAAATTTCCTGAAAGATTAGATGTGGGGCTGGAAGAGAGGAAGTGAGGGTGGTTGCCGGGCGCTGCCATTCTCAGTGGAGGGGGAGCGTGGGGAGGAGGGTCTGGTGAGTGTCCCTGTGGCCGCAGTGGGCCACGTCCCTGTGTCGCCCTAGCTCCTGGCCCATGGTGCGGGGTGGCCAGTGCTGTTTTTCTGAATGAGAGGAGGGCTGCACTTTGAAGCAGGTAGAAGGAAACAGAGGCTTCTGCATCTCAGTTCTGTGTCTGATCGGTCGATGTTGTTTGGTTTACACAGTGCTTTTTAATAACTCTCGAATGAGTTGCTGGTGTTTGGAAATTGGGATATGTCCTGTAAAACGAGAAACACTTCCATTCCTGCACAGTCACAGGGGTCCCAGCAAAGCACGCTAAGTTCTGGATTTTTTTCTAAACTGCAAAATATTCTGACTGAAAATATTTTTTTACCGTGAAACACTGGATTTTTTATATATCTATTTTAAATTGAAATGTAACATGCACATAGAAAGTGTAAAAATACCTACATTTTAACAGTAATGAAGTAGATGCTCATGCAGCGACCGTTCAGCTCAGAGGACAGAGCATCAGGCATGACTCACACTCTCCCAGGTCGCAGCCCCTCACCTCCCCACGCGTCCCCGCAGAGCACGAGTGTCGTGGCGGTGGCTTCTGAGCAGTCTCAGCCCTGTGCACCCCTGTGTGTGTCCCGGGCAGTGCGCCTTAGTTTTGCCCCATTTATAAACTTTCTCTGGACAGAATTCACTTCAGGTGCTGTGTCTTGCTTCTTTACAGCTTTCATCTTTGTAAGGTTCAGCTCCTGTTACTACATGTTGTGTTCTCTCTGGAATAACAGTGGAAATGGCTCACGGGACCCTCTTCCTGGTTTAACTTCTTTCTGAGTACTTTTTAAGAATTTGAGGAACATGTGCCAGAGATTTTATTTAACTCAGTAGCTGATGAGATAAAAAAGTAAGATGTTACAGTTGGTTCCAGTTATCTGAGTGCTTTTAAAATATATTTTTATTTATTTAGAAAATTATTTTCTGAAGCTGGTAAAAGATGACAAAAGCTCACCTTTACATGAATGCATATGTCTGAGTTGCTTTAAGTTAATTTAAGTGCCTTAAAATGTGAAAAAAATAAAGATAAATTTCCTGAGCATCTGTCTAGTGATTTGCCCTTTTTGAGGGGAGAGGGCAGCGTGATTCTTTTGATGGCAGCTAGGTGAAGAGGAATTTCTTGGTCCTGCCACAGAATAAAAAGGCGGGCCATTGACTGCCTTCAAAAAGGAACCCTATGCATCTTCCTCTGCCTTTGAGTTCCTGTGAAGTGGCAGAGGGGGTGGGGAGGAAGCAGTAAGCTGACCAGAAATAAAAAGCAAGGAGTCTGTGTTGTTTCCTTGATGTGATGAAGATCCCTGTCAGGGATTTAGAAACCTGAGCCAGCAGATGAAACCTGTGTCGTTCACAATGTCGTTGCCAGAGAGCGCGCCAGCCCAGCCCCTTTCCTGGCTAACAGCCGGTCTCATTGTCCGTCCACACATCCCCTGCCTGCTTGTCAGCACAGAGCAACTTCTAAACAAATGCAGGGCTAGTGAGAGACGGGAATGCCTTTCTTCCCCACTCTGGAATCTCGTGTCACCGTGGTCTGCCAGGAAATAGAAGGAAGCCTTACATTTGAAGGAGCTTGTCTCTGTGGGATATAAGTTTTGATTTAAAAAAAAATCAAAGTTCATTTTAAAGGTACAGAAATTTCTATGTTGTCACAATCTTCTGGTGCATTCATGTCATTTGGAAAACTTTTGTCTTCATTCTCAGGAACTAAGCATTAGGTGCAGTAGAAATGAAGTTCAGCGTCTCCTTTGGGGCTATTCTAAGACTTCTGTTTGTAGTCGATCAGGTCGAATGAAGGAGAGTAAAACTATTTCTTAACTCTAATATCTGAGTCTTTGTCCTGACTGGGTTTCTGGGCAAAGAAGGAAAACAACCCAGTGATAATGGCTGGGTTTGAAAGTGGGAAGTGACTGAGAAGGTGTGACACCACAGGCCAGTGGGATCTTTCTCTGTCAGGACAGAGAAGTCTGATGGTGAGGCACCGAAGCCATCGCAGGGCTCCCCACCCTCACCAGCTGATGTCTCCACGTCAAGAGCAGAGCAGAGTTCTTGGTTCATTCTGCAGATGAGTGTCTCACCTGGGGTTGTATGTTGTGATCATCTGGGGAGCTTTAAACTCATAGTGATGACAGGGCCCCGACCCCTGAAATCCGGAACGCAGTCAGGGTAGGATCAGGTGAGTCTGCAGGGTGAGCATATGACTGGACACAGTAGAGATTTGGTGCTGTCCTCTCTCAGCTTCAGCCGGCCGTGCTCTTCCTTCTCCTGGTCCTGCTGCTATTATTCACTTGAAGTGAAGTGAGAGTTGCTCAGTCATGTCCAACTCTTTGCGACTCCATGGACTATACAGTCCATGGAATTCTCCAGGTCAGAATACTGTAAGTGGGGAGCCTCTCCCTTCTCCAGGGTGTCTTCCCAAGCCAGGGATTGAACCCAGGTCTCCCGCATTGCAGGCAGATTCTTTACCAACTGAGTCACAAGGGAAGCCCCATTATTTACTTAGACATTGCTTTTTATTTCTTTTTGATGTGACTTAGTAGTTTGGTGCGTACATACAGAAGAGTGCACGGAACATCGGTGTGTATCTCGGTGGATTGTTGTAAGTTGAAAAGCCAGCTGGTGAAACCAGCACCCAATCAAGAAAGAGATGGTCGCCAGTACCCCAAAGCATCCGTATAGTGGCAGCTCTCCTTCCATTTCTGAGATTCATCCCTGTGGTTGCGAGTAGCCACGATCGTTTCTCATTGCTCCGTGATGTTCTTTTGTATGAATATGTCACAGTGCAGGCGTCTCTTCACTGTGGGCAGATGTGGGGAAACATTGACAGTGTTTGGCAAGTAAGACTGGCGTTGCATGACCGTTGCTGGCTGTGTCCCTGAGTGCACACGTGCACCGCAGCCTTGAGGGTAAAAACCTTGGAGTTGAATTGGAGGGTCACAGATATTCATGTGTTCAACTTCAGGAGATAATAAATGCCACATTGCTTCTACACCAGCTCACACTCCCACCGGCAGTGTCCTGCATCTTTAGCAACCCTTGGTGTTGCCCGTCTTTTTAGTGATTCTGGAGGTTGTAAAGTAGTATTTTATTGTTTTTGCTTTTATTAAAATTTTTATTTTGGAAGTGTCCAAGAAAAGTAGTCAAGTGGTACGAAGGCTCTCCATGGCCCCATCTGATTGCAGACCTGCTTTCTGACCTATAAATATTTGTGTGTATCTCTGGAAAATAAGAACTTAAAAATGCCATTTTCACCCCTAGAAGAAATTAACAATAAATTTTTAAATATCAGCACATGTGTAGCTAATGTTTAAATTTCAAGTTGTCCTGTAAGTGTCATAATGTGTTTCTTTTATCGTATTATTGTGCAATTAGGATACAAATAAAGGTCTATATGATAGATTAGTTGGGATCTATCTTACATCTTTTAAGTCTGTGTTTCCCTTAGGTTTCCATTTTTACCTTTGGGCAAGGTATAAACTAGATAGAGATGGGGGGAGGTCATACTCAAGGGCTGGCAGGACGGGAGTGATGGGGCCTATAGGCCCACATTGACTGGAAGGGGAAGGACAGGGCAAGTTTCACGGGAAACGCTGTCAGTGAGTTGGCCCTGTAGTGTGGTCAGACGAAAGGGGTCCTGGAGACTCGGATCCAGTTCTAGGTTCCCTGGAGAGGGACGGACCCTTCACCTCGCCCCTGGGGCTGCGTCTGTGCAGTGCTTCCCTCCCCAGGACTGTGCGTGAGCGAGGCTGGCTCGTTGATTCTTGTAACGTGGAGGTTTTATGGCTAAAAAGACTGTTGAAAAAGTGAGAGGGCGTCGAGTTTCTCACCAGGGTTTGTTCTGTCATCTCTCCCAGGGCTTCGGATAAAGGAGACCAAGGAGGTATACGAAGGTGAGGTCACGGAGCTCGCCCCGTGTGAGACAGAGAATCCCATGGGGGGCTACGGCAAGACCATCAGCCACGTGATCATAGGGCTCAAGACGGCAAAGGGGACCAAGCAGCTGAAGGTGAGCACGGGCCTGGGCGCTGCTCTGCGGCGCACCCGTGTGGCGCAGATGGCACCTTTGGGCAGGGCGGGCACACGGACGATTTGGTGAGGGTGGCTCCTCCTCGCTGGCGCCGAGGAAGCTGTGTGTGGGAGGACCTGAGCTGTGTGTTGCCGTCCTGTCCCGCCGGGTGACCACATGCTTGGGCCTGGCCGCTGACAGTGTGTTCCAGTGCTGTGCTCACAGGAGAAGCAGCACTGAGTCATCTCGTGAGAGCTGAAGGGCCGTGACAGCGCCATCTCGAGGGGCCCAGGGCGGAGTCCCGGCTGCAGTCCCTTTTGTGTGCTGGGACCTTGAGACCGTGCCGGCTTCACTGGTCGGTTCTGCATAGGCCAGGGCTCTGTGGGGAGCGTGGTGGTGGCGGTGGGGAAGGTCCTGGGTGAGCCTCCCACCCCTCGTGTGTAAGAGCATGACTGAGAGTGTGTGACACACGGGCCAGTGGGAAGGAGCAGCTGCTGATGTTGTGAAATGGAGCAGTCTGATTGTGGCTTTGCCTTATTAATAGTAAGGAATAAGCTTTTCTTCACAGCACTTATTTATTGTATGTGTCAAGCCCTGGGCTGAGTGCATCAGCAAATGTGTGTGTGTGTGTGTGTGTGTGTGTGTGTGTGTGTGATTCCCCTTATTTTACAGATGAAAGAGCTCTGAGGCACACGGGGAGGTTAAGCATGTCTCCTGGGATCGCACAGCTAGTCAGTGGCGGGGCAGATTCTCTGAGTCCTGCCGACGATGCTGTCTGTGCTGTAACTTGCTGTGGGACCTTTAGGAGTCAGTTGAGCTCTCTGGGGCTCCGTTTCCCTATCTGTAGACTGCAGTAGGTTGGCCGTGTAACGTCTCCATCTTTGCTTTCCTCTGCGATTTTATTGTTCTTTGATTCTGTAAGGTGGTTTCTTGGTCACTGCTTTATGGAGATCATAAAAATGTCACTTCTGCAAAGCACCATTTCTCTTTGTCCTAACAGGGTTTCCATCTCAGGAGCTTGCCTCTGCAAATATCTCTCTTAAACCTCCCCCCTCATCGCTCCCATTCTGTATTAATTACATTTCTTAGCAGGATCTGCCACTTTTCCAGTAATTACATCTTCAGTCTATTCATTTGGGAAATTAACTGATACAAAAATGCTTGACGCCAAAAAAAGAAAAAAAGAACGTGTACTATCCAATGTAGGATAGATAACATAAGGTATACAGTTTAAATTTCAGTTATCCATAAAGCTGTTTTGCATAGTTTCTTTAAGAAAATAACAAGAGCATGAATGTTTTGCTTTCAAGATGAGCCCTTCCTGCCACATTGATCATCTGTGCAAGCTGTTTGGAGAGGCGGCTCTTTCAGTGTGAAGGGCAAGCCTCTCCCTTTGTGGAGCGCCGCCCTTGTCCCAACCCCACCTCGGGGCCCGCCGCGCCCCAGCCTCACTCAGGGCCGTGGTCCAGGAGGGCACAGCCCCGGGCTCCTGTGGTTACTGTTTGCAGCGACTTCACTGAGGTCGCATTTTAAGTAAGATTCACCCATTTTAAGTGCACGACTCAAGGAATTTTAATCGGTTTACAAAGTGGTATAGCTATCATCACAATCCAATTTTAGAACATTTTCATTACCCCAGAAAGAAACCTCATGCCTGTTTGCAGTAACTTCCCATTCCCACCCCCAGGCCCTGACAACCACTAATCTACTTTGTTTCTGTATATTTGCCTTTTCTGAATACTTCATAAAAATAGAATCATACAACATGTGTTCTTTTATGTATGGCTTTTCCTACTGAGTCCTGGTAAGTTTTTATTCTAATTTTGTTTGAGAGTTGAGAGTAACAGCTCCCCTTGAAGTTTAACAGAGAGAAACATTTCTAAATAAAGACTCCTTACAAAAGATGCTCTCCCAGAATATTGATCACCTAGGTGGCCCGAGTCTGGACGATCTGGAGAAAGGCAGCTTTCCGCAGATGTGCTGCTTTTCCTTTCTGGATATAGAAGCAGTTAGACCCAAGGAGCAGACACTGGGATTTGAATCCACTGGCTTCAGAGAGATCCTGGTTTTATGTTTCCTTTGAATGAATCACATCTGTGATGTGATTACACCTGGGTGCTGTCATGTGGGTGAAGAAAGGGAAGCTCTGAGAGCCTTGTCTAAAACCACAGGCCTGCTGAAGGGCAATCGTGGAGAGTAAACAGGTTCTGTCACCACCGCTGGTGCGGAAACTGCCACCCCCGCCCGAGGTGGGGAGGCCAGGGATTGCAGCTGGGAGAGCAGTCTCCAAAGGGAGTGTTAGGGTCTTTGGTCCCACGGACAGCATGGGCCCCACCTGGAAGTGGCTAGAGCCGTGTTTGCCAGTTTGCAGCCTCTGGAGTCAAAGGCAGGAGGAGCTTAGGTCTCCCTCTGTGCCCTTCTCCTGCCTGCTCTCTGGGACACTCGGGCTCTAGAGCCCACTTCACACGTCCTCACACACACACATTCTTTCTCCATGTGGTCACTGACTACGTCAACTCATATGGGAAGCTACCTTACAGTATGTCAGAATATAATGTGAATTACAGTTCTCTGGTTCACTTTTCTTTTTTTAAGCTGGACCCCAGCATTTTTGAAAGTTTGCAGAAAGAGCGAGTGGAAGCTGGAGATGTGATTTACATTGAAGCCAACAGCGGGGCCGTGAAGGTAATGCCGCAGAGACCCGGGGGCAGGAAGTGGCCTTGTCTCTGCACAGGGTCCGGGGCGTGTGGGGAGGGGCTGCTGGTCTGCTCCCCTTCACGCTTGCTCACGCTTCCTTCCCTTTATCTGCGTTCTTTACCCGACAGTCTGTTAGAAAAATGCTAAAACCTGTTTGGAAGGGGAGAAAAGTGAGGAGGTGAGCTAGTGGTAGTCATTTCCAAATTGAAATGTGCAGGGTATTTAATCTTCCCTTTATCTCTTCGGTATTTTCTTCCCAAGATATATGCATGTGGAAAGGAATGCTGCATTAGTATCTGATTTCCAGGGTCCTGTATGGAGTTCCTCACTGTTTAATGGATGAGCATAATACTTCATATCGTGCACTAAATCACCCACCTACAAAAGAGTCTGAGCAGCCCCTCTGTCTCCAGTTAATCTACTGGATTTGCCCTTTATCGGGAATTGCATGCAGTTAAAACAAGGGGGAGATTCTGGGAGAAAGTGTCAGGTGTTCTCAGCTGGGTTTTTGGAGCCCAACGATGAGCAGATAGGGCTTTCTCTTGGCAGCAGGGGACCAGGCCACATTCGGAGTTTGTCAAGGCGGCTGTTGGCCGCAGTTGGGACCGGAGACTTTTATCTTGCGCTGAGTGCTTGGGGACTTGGCAGGGGGCCACACCAGGCACTCAAGTTTCTCTCTGTCTCTGTAGAGGCAGGGCAGGTGTGACACCTATGCCACAGAATTTGACCTTGAGGCTGAAGAGTACGTCCCCCTGCCCAAGGGGGACGTGCATAAGAAGAAGGAGATCATCCAGGACGTCACCTTGCATGACTTGGACGTGGCCAACGCACGACCCCAGGTACCGACCCCCCCCCCCCCCCCCCCCCCCCCCCGTCATGCTGGGCAGCCGCCGCTGGCCCTGCGAGTGAGCGCAGGAGCCTTTCATGCGGGTTGGGGGCTCCTGGATGAGCTGTCAGTCTTGCTGCTTCTTAGGGCAGACAGTCCTTTTCTGTCTGTAATGTTCAGCAATTAACATCGACAAGAGCGACGAGGGCCTCCTTTGTTCCAATTCAAATGCTCCAGTCACAGATGGCTTCCTGCGCATTGTTCCTTCTCCCAGCCCAGCCTCTGGCCTGAGCTGGCCAGCTTCTCTCTGGCTTCCCTCCAGCACTGGCTCGGGCCTGGGATGCTCTGGGTGTGAATGGCGGAGGGCAGGAGTGTTCTTTGAGCCCTTTGCAGGATTTCAGAGAGCCTCACAAAGCGGTCTTCCCCCTGCCTAGCAGAACCCCCAGTTTTATAGCTTTGAGCTGGAACTGTCCCTGCTCCTCATGTGATGGATGCTTGTGTCCTGACTAATAAAACGTGGGGAAGCGCGGGATGACTTTCTGCCGTCTCTGGGGAATGTGCGCTTCAGAGAACTGACTCTTTCCCCGCTGGTGGTCTTTGACACTGGTTTCCTCTTCATCCTAAAAGAGGCTATCCCCTCTAGCAAGGGGACGGGCTTTCTAACCTGAAATCCTATCCGTGGGTGTTCTGTCTCTTGGAGCCTTGGCCAAGAAACTGCTGAAGAACCTCCGCTCTGTCTGTGCAGCGGCTGTCCCAGACCACCTTTGGGAGCCACTCTCGAGTTAGCTCAGGGACTGTGTTGCTCCGACACTGATTGGCTCAGCTAATGGTCACTTTGGGTCTTCGGGTTTTCTATGATTTAGGGCTCTCTGATTTTCTCTTTGCTCCTCTGAGAAGAGGGCATAATATTTCCTACCTGGCAGGGCTGCTCTGGGGATCAGATGTCCTCAGTGGTCAGGAAACATTTGCCACCTTTGACTGCTGTGTGTTCAGGGACCACCCGTGTGCCTGGTAGGGCCTGGCAGCCCCAGCTGACCGTGGAGAGCTGGCTTCTGGCTGCCTGCACAGGGGCGCTGGCAGCTGGAGAGCCTGCTGTGGGGCCGCCCGCCGCGCCATCAGGCTCCAGGCCCTGAGAGCTCTGGTGTCTAGGCCTGGAGAGAGGACGCAGGGCCAGAGTCACTGCCGCCCCCCCAGGGCTGGGGCAGTGGGATGGGGTCAGAGCTTCCTAGGAAGCGGGATGTGATTCCTGGCAGGTGGGCTCAGAATGAGTCCTGGAGAGTCAGATGCCCAGGGAAGGGTTGGGAGTTCTGTGGAGTCAGGCAGGCATTTGGGACCGGGAAGAGACATGGCTGGGGCGGGGGTTTTGCTAGATTCTGGCAGGATCGGGGAGCCTCTTACAAGCCCTGTGTTGAGACGCTCCTCAAGCTTCCAGTGCAGGTGCCAGGGGTCTCTGCTTCTCAGGACCCCTGTTGAGTTGACCAGTTGATGAGGGGCCCTGGGGGTGGTGGTGCTGAGGCATTTGCAACCGCCTTAGGAAGCGAGACTGACTCCTGAACCTTCTCTTGTGCAGGGGGGACAAGACATTCTGTCTATGATGGGCCAGCTCATGAAGCCCAAGAAGACGGAGATCACAGGTGAGACGAGGCGCAGTGCTGGGGGCCCGAGCCTGGCGGTGCGTGGGGTCCTGCCCCACCTGACAGCAGGGGCTGTGCTGGATCCTCACGCGCATCCCGAGGGGGAGACAGGTGGTCACGGGCACGTCCCGCATGCAGCACACAGCCCGCTTGCCCCAGCAGCCCCTGCCTGCCTCCCCAGGTGAGGCCGTAGGCTGGCTGCCCTTTTGGGCCTGTGATTTACCTGCTCCTCTTGCTAACTGTATGCTCCTTTTTTTCTCATTACCACAGATAGCTTTGTCACTTGAAAACTGTCAACGTTAAAGCTGTTTTCTTTCAAATTTCAGCCAGTGGCACGATGTGAACCCCCAGAGCAGTGTCCTTATCATAACATGGCCTTTTCAGCTCCGCCTCATAGCTGTGGTGGAAGGTGCTGGGTGTGTGGGCTGCTCCCTCCTGCCGATGGTACAGGCGCTGGTTTGGAGAATGAGAACCATGACCTTGGACAGTTATTCAGCTTTTGAGATGCTCGTCCCTCTTCGAGCTCTGAGATGGGACCTCTCCTCAGACCTTGTCATTCCTCACAGGTTTTCCTCCAGAGAGGATTCTGAACGCACCCTATTCCTTCTAGGCGCTTGATTGAAAGTTAATTAACTGAAGCTTTGTCACACAGGCCATGCAAAAGGGTCATTTACTCAGTATAGCACAGGGAAATTTGCATATGAAAACTGCCATCTTCCAGGCGCTGGTGTGAGATAATAAGGCCTGGTGGGGAGTGTGACAGACCAGACCAGAGGTGTGTGCCCTGGTGAAGACAGGTGTTTACAAACTTAACACAACTTCAGGGTAGCGTGCCAATGTTCTGGGTTTTAGGTAACAGCGCTATTTTCAGATGAAACTGAAGCCTGGAGTGGGGTCGTGGCCTGATTGTGGGTTCACACAGCTCACACTCAAGCCCAGCTCTACCTTGGGCTTGGATGGGATTCGGAGGGAACGAAGAGAAAGGCCGCCGCCTCCCCACAGCGCTGACCCCGCCTGTCGCCCCCGCCTACTCTAGACAAGCTGCGGGGAGAGATCAACAAGGTGGTGAACAAGTACATCGACCAGGGCGTGGCGGAGCTGGTCCCGGGCGTGCTGTTCGTGGACGAGGTCCACATGCTGGACATCGAGTGCTTCACCTATCTGCACCGGGCGCTCGAGTCCTCCATCGCCCCCATCGTCATCTTTGCGTCCAACCGGGGCAACTGCGTCATCAGGTACCACACCCCCCCAGGCTCCTCGGCGTCTGCAGGGCCCCTCCACCCCGTCACGCCGCCCGCTGAGGTGGGGGGGGGCGCCCTGCTCATCCTGAGGGAGACACTCGGAGTGGCTCGATCTCACACCGGCAGAGTCACCCTGTTCCTGTGTGGGAGGGCTTCCACGTGGCAACTGGGGTTCCCGTGGGTGTGGCCTGGTTATCTGGCTGGAGTGGGCAGGCAAGGTCAGGTGGGCCAGCCCTCAGCGACACAGCCTGTGTTGACTTCGTCCCCCGTGAGCTCCCCGAGGTGTGCGTTGTAACTTCACTTTTCAGATGAGGAAACAGGGACAGCATGGTGTGCCCCTGGCCACAGAGTGGACAAGAACCCAGGCCTCGGACAGCGAAGCCTGTCGTTTCCTTCTGGCCCAGACCTTTTCTTGGAGCCACACTGGCACCTCCCCCCAACCCCCAGGCCCACCTTCAAGAGGGGAGCCCAGGGGCGTTCCTTGTGGTCCAGTGGTTAAAATCTGCCTTGCAATGCAAAGGACATGGGCTCTTTCCATGGTCCAGCATGATCCCACATGCTGCAGGACAGCTGAGCCCGTGCGCCTTGACTCCTGAGCCCTCACGCCGAAGCCCGCGTGCCCGAGGGCACATGCTCTTCAACGAGGGAGGCTGCTGCAGTGCGGACTGGAGGGTAGCCCCCACTCAGCACACCTGGGGAAAGCCCGCACGCAGCCACAGGCGCCAACGCAGCCAGAGGCCAGCGGCAGGTTAGGAAAGGAAGGGGGCCCAGAGGACTCGCCCCTCTCCAGTGCCTGAGCAAGCGCCAGTGTGTCCTCTGGTTGGCTTCTGGCCTTCTGCGCTCCCTGCGTGCTGGGCCTGCTCCCAGCAGTGCTAGGGCATGACAGGGTGGTGCAGGGCCCTCTGCAAGCCTGCCGCACAGTGGTGAGGGCGGCAGGGCCCGGAGAATGCATGCTCCTGGCCCAGGGGGAGCGGGAATCTGAAGAGAGACCCCAAGACCATGAATGTCTCAGCACAGCTGCAGCCAAAGTGAGTGAGGAGCCCAGACCAACCTGGACCCTAGACCTGCCTCTACTGTAGAGGAGCTTTGTCTCTGCTGAGCTTATACGGAAGCCATGCTGTTGGCTCTGGGCAGGCCCCTACTCAGGTGACCATTCTCGCTCAGATGAGGCTTTGTGTGCACGGTGTGAGTGCGGGCGGCAGCATCTCGCAGCCCCTCTTTGAATCCCTGTAATGCTGTCTTGTTAAGAACACCGCTCGTCACCCTCACAGGTGTCTTCTGGTCTTGAAGGGAAGGCAGCTTGGACCAGGCCCAGGCCAACGAGGGCCTGGCTGCCTGGGCAGCATCTGGAAGCAACACGTGGCCTGGTGAACCTGGTGTCCGGCCACACAGGCCCGGTGTGTGTCTTCTGGACTTCACTTTGGTGGGGCCTGGTTTCAGCGCTGACAGCGGGCAGATGGGCCCAGCCTGGACAGATGGCGCCCTCTGCCGAGGGAGCCCTGCGGCCAGAGCCAATTCCGGCCGAGAGCTCTCAGGATCAGAGTCCTCTTCGTCTCTTGCCATCTAGGGAAAAAACAGGCACGGGAGGGTGGCCCTGACCTCAGAGCCCACCCAGTGGGACCTGGGGAACTTGGCCCCAGCCCCATCCAGAAGGATGTGTGTTCCAGAAGCCATTTTCTCTAATACGTTGTCTGAAAGAAACTTTGTGCCTCAGAGTCAGAGCTTGGACACACTTCTACAGTCTTTGGTCTTTACTTCCTCAGAAGTGCTTAGTATTTTTTAAGCAGAGGTGGTTTTTTTTTTCTTTTTCCTGTTTAAATTTTTAGTTTTATGAACTCAAAACTATAAGAAAAATTTTTAACACATATTGATAAATTCTGTTGTGTTTTTTTCCCTAATCTTTTTTCAGACTTTTTATATTTACTGTCTCTGAAATGAAGATAATTTATTATGAGTGTTGTAGAATTGGGGATATTTTAAGATGGCAAATTGAGATCTCTTAAACTTTTCTCAGGAGAATATCTAAATAGGATTTAAAAAGAGAAACATACGACCTAAACAGAATTAAATAACTGAAAATTAAATGTAGTTTTTAAAGGTTATTTTGTTTAATGTGACAATTACAGGTATACCAAATAATAAGATTTTAATCATGATAGAATTTTATCTTAATTCTTTATTAATATTTTTATAAATCTTTGTTGGTGAAAAAGATTTGTTTTTTCTAATGGTATCTTAATATTTTGTGTTTGCTACTAGTGTGTTTCCTTTTTTGTTTGAAAAGGTCTTAATTATTTTTAAGTATTAGATGTAACAATTATTAATGTAGTATTTTATTCTTTTCTTTTTTTTTATTGTGGTAGAATGCATATAACATAGTTTGTTGTCTTAGTTATTTTTAAGCGCACAGCTCAGTGCTGTTAATAACATTCACAGTATTGTATATCCGTCACCACCATCTATCTGCAGAGCTGTCCATCGCCCTGACAGAAACTCTCCCCACAGCAGGAAGTCCCATTCCCGTCCCTCAGACCCGGTAACCTCTGATCTACCCTGCTTCTGTGCGTTTGCCTCTTCTGCCTATTTCCTGAGGTGGAATCATACGGTGTTTGCCCTTCTGTGGCTGCCTTCTTTCACTTACCGTTACATTTTCAAGGTTCATCCTGTTATAGCATGTGTCCACGAAAACATTTTATACTTGCAGTAATCAATATACATTTACACTTCAACTGACTTGGATAGAATGTCCACAGATATTCTTTCCCTGAAGTTACATTTCTAGGATGTTTGCTTATATAGGAAACCGAGCATTCTGACACTGAAAGGTAAAGCTCGATGACCTGCCCTTCTCCTTGGTTGTGTTGATGAGTGACGACCGTAGACCGCAGTTGGTCAAGCTGGGGAGGCCAGAACTGGGGGCCTGCTGCGGTGGCTTCCTAAAGTGGAGGCAGGAGCCCCCGGCTGAGCTCGCTGGGCTTCCAGAGGCGCCGAAGCCTGGCGCGCGTGCCACAGGGTCTGCCCAGCGCACAGCCCACTGGGAGCTGGTGCCGTCCAACCCAGCGGGGTGGCCATTCACTGGCTTGGCCAAGGATTTGAGAGAGAGACAGGCCAGGGATGTGATTGGACAGTTCCCAAAAAGAAATAAAATAACTAATGAACATAAGGGAAGGCATTCAAATGATTCATTAATAATCAAGAAAATGCAAATTCAGATGAGGTGTTAGACCTTCCTTTTCCTAGACCTTTAAGGAGTAAACTGCTAGACTGCTCAATGCTGGCTACAGTATAGTGGGGCCAGATCGCTTGTGTGTCTTCAGAAATTAACACATTCCTTCATTCATCCGTTCATGTGTTTAGGGAGATATTCAGGGTTGTGTCAGGCTCTGTGAGAGATGCTGAGGAAATGTTCATGGCAGTATGCCTAAAACACCATTAATTATAACAGCAACAACTAGGAACTGCTTGAATGCCTAATTGGGTCACAGGCTATTAATACTGAAACAACATGGACAAAAGCAAAACAAAAAAATCTACATACTTAGCATAGCTTAAGAAAATTTGGCAGATACCTATATGAACATTTTTAATGTGATTTCAGTTGGCTTTTCCCTCCTCCCCCGATTTCCTGTGGTGTTGCTATTTGCAAAAATAATGACGTGGTTTCTGATGCCGCCCGAGTTAGTGTGTGTCCGCTGTGGTTCTGCTTCTGACTCTCAGGACGAGAACTAGCTGCTTTGTTATCACCCGGGCCTCAACCATGTTTCCACTGTCCAGAGAGGCCTGGGTGACGTGGAACTTGTCGGCCTTGCAGGGGCACGGAGGACATCACCTCTCCTCACGGCATCCCTCTCGACCTTCTGGACCGAGTCATGATCATCCGGACCATGCTGTACACCCCGCAGGAGATGAAGCAGGTGGACAGCCCCGCCCCGCCCCCGCCCTCCTCTCCCTCCAGGTCGGCACACATGAGTGGCCCTGGTCCCCCGCCGCCCACCACGGAGCTGCCGGCCACAAGCATGTCTCGTCCCCAGGGCGCAGCCCCAGCTCTCCGTACAGAGCCGGAGCCACAGTCGTGTGCCCGCAGCCTTGGCAGCTCCGTCCCTTGTGGGCCTTCCGAGCCATCCTTTCCCCCTGTGCTGGCTGAGCCCTGAGTGGCGATTCCAGGACACAAAGCTGGCCGTGCGCCACGGGGCCCAGCCATCTGCTCTGCCCACCCTGGCCCCAGACGGTCTCGCTGGGGCATAGGTCTCTCTCTCACTGAGGGGTCAGCGTATGGCCACGGCTGGGGACCTGGGGTGGCCCAGGGCTGCGCTGACAGCCTGATGACTCTGCTGCCTGCCCCCACCCCCCCGCCCCCCCCAGAGCACTCTCCTGGGTGGTGTGCTGAGCTGTTCAGTCCCCAAGGTGTTTTCACTCGAGGTATCGTGGACAGTTACCACTGATGCTCTTAAAGAGCAGGGTGCTGAGGCGTGGACTGGTTAGCTTGCCCAGGTTCACACGGCTCATCTGTGGCAGGACTGGGACCGGGACCCAGGCTGTCTCATCCTGAAGCCCCTTTCCTGATGTCTCTGCCACCAGCTTCCTCCCCGTGAGAAATGTCTCATCTGGAAGGGGGTCTCTGGAAGTTGGTCAGCAGGCTGCTCCTTTCGGAGCTCAGAGGGCCTCTCCTGGACCCTCCCCAGCAGCCCCCGCCTGCCTGTGGCCTGTCTGGCTTGGCCCTGCGTGTCTTGTTGGCCAGCGCCCAGGAGTGCCCATGATGTGTAGAGCCAGAGCTCTCCCTACGTGACTGGCATGGATCGGACACTCAGGTGGTTGTAGTTGACAGCAGCAGCTGGGTAGGAGATGGGGTCCATGGCTAGAGGCCTTGTCCCCACATAATGATCTCTTGCCCTTGGAGGAATGCTAGGTTGAAGCCAAGGTTGTGACTCGGAGCAGAGCAGAAGTGAAAGCAGAGGAGAAATTGGTCCCTTCCTTACCCCAACTGCTGTGGCTGGGGCGGCGCCCTGCATCCCGCAGCGCTTCGTGGCTGAGTGGTGTCCTCTGTGGGCCTCCGCCTCTGCTCACAGGACAAGTGCTCCCTTCTCTCGGGGCTCTTGGGAGGCCCCAGGGTTGAGCGTGGGAACTCAGGGAGGTGTGACTGCTGCTCACAGGCTCCTCACAGCAGCTTTCAGTGGCCAGGGCTCCAGGCTGGCATCGCAAGATCAGCCAGCCAGCCTCTGTGGCTTCCTTTCCATCCGGAGCACGCTGCCCTACCCCCGGCACGTGTGTGCTGCCCCAGGGCCCGTGGGCTTAGCCGGGGCCGCCTCTTGCCTTCCTCTTGGGTGGGGAGCGAACGGAGCAGCTCCAGGACAAGCCTGACTGCTCCTGCTGCTCAGGGGACAGTCTCAGCGTTTCCACTGGAGCTTGGGGGGGTTTCTAAAAACAAAGTGATGTAACTTGTGTACTCTGCCACCAGCGCCGACACCCTCATAAACTATCCCTTGCAGGTTATTAAATGATTAAAGATCTAATTTATGAACTGTCGCTGGTGAGTGGTCTAGAGCAGGAGCTCCTGGCATTGCTGTGACCTGTTCCAGGGAGAGTGAGAGCGCAGCATCCCTGACACCCTGCAGGGTCCGCCGCTCAGGCTGGGCTCTCCCCACCAGGCTCCAGGGCCCCGTGTCCACATCTCCCCAGAGCTCCCTGAGGCCCTGGGGACTCCTCGGGGCAGACCCAGCTGCTGGCGAGAAGCTCTTTTTACTTGAAAGTGCAGAGCTGCGCTGCTCCGATGGGCGTGATCGGAGGGCTGTCCTTTGGTGGGAGCAGTCCACGCCTCCCTTCCCCGCCGTCCGCGTGTGCCCGTCTGGTGACCTCTCTGCTCAGCTGCACTTCCCTGCAGCGCCCGGCTGGACCCCTCATGCACATAGGTGCTTCTGACTGAGGTCACACCTGGCAGCCCCCTGGCTGAGCCGATGACTTTGATGTGGTCAGCGCAGTGTCTGTGAAATGTTTAAATAAGTGGACAGCATTTTCGCGCTCAGGACATTTCGTACAAAGGTCTGAATTGAGACCTTCCTGCCAGCACCTGGCCCTTGGCCCTGGCGGCACCGCTTACTGCAGAGGGGCTGCCCTCCCGTGCACCTTGCCCCCTGCCCACTCCCTGCTCACGTCTGCGGGACCTGCTTCTGGGCAGGGTCTTCCCTGGTGACACCTCCTAACCCTCTGGTCCCTCTGCCCTTGTGACGCTTTAGCCTGGGGCTCAGTCTCTCCCACTTCCATGGCTGTATCCCGGGTACGTTTATATGGCTTTAATTTAAACAAGGGCTTCTTGATATCTTGTTTACGAAGCTGCCAGAGTGAAAAATTCCTGTATTATACGAGGCTCGACGTCCCCGAGTTATCTCAGCTACACAACACGCAGCATCATTACCCCGCTGCCCCTTATCACTCAGCGCTGCCGTGCGGCCAGGGTCCCGGCGCCACGCGTGCTGCCGTCCCCACCCAGCCTGCCTCCCGCCAGTCCCCGGGATCTTCAGTGCTCGTGTGTCAGCCTCTTCTTGACGGACGTGATATCGCCCAGTGAGGTTATGAGGGCTGCTGAATCTTTAAAAGTAACTTTTAAAATTTATTGAACCATCATTTGTCAGGCAGAGAAAAAGCGTCTCTCCTTGCCGATGGGCTTACAGGTGGCGGAGCCCGCCCTAGTGGGGAGGCCGGCTGCCCTGAGGGGCAGGGCAAGGAGGCTCTGGCTGCCTCCTTGGGGGCGTGTGGCTGCGCCACCAAGGGGTGCGGGTCCCGCAGTGCCCGCCGGTGGCTCTGCCCCACCCGCCCATCCGGGTTGGGCCTTTACGCTCTCAGGAGGTGCCACTGTTGATCACAGTTTCTCTTCCAAAGATCATTAAGATCCGAGCCCAGACAGAAGGGATCAACATCAGTGAGGAGGCGCTGAACCACCTGGGGGAGATCGGTACCAAGACCACTCTGAGGTGAGCTGGCTGCTGGGACCTGGCAGGATGGGGGTCCCGACCCGGCCCAGGGCCAGAACGGCCTGCTGGCGATGTTGGGAAAGCTGAGTGGCGGGCAAGTCCTCCGTCCCTGAGATGGGCCCCCTGCCCGGCGGCCCCTGGGGTGCAGGAGGGGGGACAGGACTGGACACAGGGGCGGAGCAGGCGGCCCCCTCCAGCCCGGCACCTCTGTCTGGTGGGCAGGGAGGCGTGCCAACAGAGGCAGCTGTGCTGCCTTCCCCAGCGGCCAGGAGCCGGTTGGTGGAGGGCGCCCCTCTGTCCGGATTCCTTCCTGTCAGTCACGGCTTTTCAGTGCTCAGCCCGGCCCATTCCGCTCGGCGTCAGCTCCTCACTGCTAAGGGGCTCGCAGAGCTGCAAGCTGGCTGGGTGGCACGGTGTCTGCAGAAGCGCTGGGACGTCCTCGCCTTTGGGTGGCGCATGTGCTCTCAGGGGCACGTGTTCCTTTCCCCGCCATGTGCCCTGCCCCGGCTGGACCCTGGTGTTGCCTCCCCACCGCTGTGTGCACCCCAGTTTGCAGGCCCTTTCCAGTAGCGCGGGTGCCTCCTGCTGGAGCACTTAAGGCGGTGACAGGTTCAGGCAGTGGGGCTTACGGCGGTGACTTCTGGCTCCTCTGGTGGGGTGGCGGGTCCAGATCTCTGGGAAGTGAGCACTGTCCTGTCTGCTGCGTCTGCAGCAGCTGGCACAGGTCCTGGGGCTCAGCAGTGCTCCTTCTGGCATGGGGAGGGCTCCTGCCCGCAGCCCCGCCTCACCCCTGCCCGGCCACTCTAGGTACGCGGTGCAGCTGCTGACCCCGGCCAACCTGCTGGCCAAGATCAATGGGAAGGACGGCATCGAGAAGGAGCACGTGGAGGAGATCAGCGAGCTCTTCTACGACGCCAAGTCCTCGGCCAAGATCCTGGCTGACCAGCAGGACAAGTACATGAAGTGAGGAGACCGAGGGCCTCTGCCAGGGGACTGCGGTCAGCCAGGCCCAGTCCAGCCGCGAACAGGAGGTCCAGCCACGCTGGGTTCTGTCCCCCCTGGGCGGAGAGCAGTGCTGTGAGGTCGGCGTGGAAATGTTTCCTTTAAATTATTGTAACTCCTCCCCTGGCTGCTTTGAAGGAACCCTGCCGCTGGTGTGCTTTCTAATAAAGCCTGATAGGTTATTTCGATGACATCTGACTCCCTTAATTTTTAAAAAGGAACCTTTGTGCTTTGGAGCAATGGAGAGGTAGAGGACTGTGAAGATGGCCCAGGGGTCCCTGGCCGTTGGCATCTCGCTGTGTGGCGTGTGTCATGTGCGCTGAGCCCCTGGCGCACTTCGTGGGCTCTGTGCACGTGTCCTCAGCGGTCCACTGTCCTCTGTCCACCCCAGGAGCCATCCGACGCCCACGTCACGTTCCATCGTCATGCCTGTGGTTTCGTCTCTGATGACCCAGACGGTTTTGAGGAGTGCTGGTCAGGTACTCTGTCATATCGCCCTCAGTGGGGCTGGTTTGGTGTTTTTCTCACAATTAAACTGGGATCGAGGGTCACTAGGAGAAAGAGCAGTGGGCCGTTTCCAACACTTCCCGTCAGGCGTGCCCGCCAGCGGGGCTCCTGGCTGCCGTGCTGACCCGCATCCCCGGCCCGGCTTGTGTCGTCGCGTTTCTCTGTCTGCCTTCCTCACCGTCCTCCGTGGAAGGTGTCTTTAAGCACAGCCCTCCCAAGAGGGGTGGCACTTTCACTTCACCTCCTGGAGGCTGAGTATCTTTGCCCTGGAGATCATCTGTTCTCTTTTGTGTCAGGATGGACTTCTGGATTTTTTACTTTAATTATTTAACTTATTTGGCTGCATCGGGTCTTGGTTGTGGCATGGAGTTCCCCAACCAGGGCTTGAACATGGCCCCCCAGTGTTGGGAGCATTGAGACTTAGCCACTGGACCACCAGGGAGGGCCCTGGATTTTTATTTTATACTTTGGGCTTATAACCCAGCACGACGTTATTTTGTGGCTCAAGTTGTTCAGCTTTGACCACTGGGATCCCTCTCAGTTGGACCCTGTGTCCCTGAGCTGTGCCCCCATCATGGCGACGACGTCTTTTGTCGGGCGCTGGGGGGTAGGGCCTGCGGAGCCTGGGCAGACACCGCCTGGGTGTCGTTGCCCGGAAGGAGAAGCACGGCGCTCTCTGCCGGGCCAGCCCTTGTGCCTGCGCCCACTGCTCAGCAGAGGCAGCGCCCAGCACAGGAGCAGCGCTCCTCGGGCAGGCTCTCTGGGTGGTTTTGTGTGCGCGAGAGGGGACCCGCCGAGACGGGAGTCCTGAGCACCAGTGTCAAGTCAGCCTGCACGCACCCTGTCACCAGAGCCTGAGCGGGAATCCAGGCAGGAGGGCGGAGTGCCGGGGTCCGCGCACTCCCGCTGCCAGCACGGGTCTTGTGTGGGCCCTGCTGCTCCCCAGCATGGGGGTCCTGAGGTGGGGGTGTGAGGGCAGTGGGCAGGGAGGGGTGGTGGGGTGCTTCCTGAGGCCAGGGCCATGCGCGCTGGCCTGACCTGGCTGCCCCTCCCCGCCGCGTCTGCGCCCGTGTCTCTGGTCTCCCAGCTGCAGCCACGCTGGACCCATAGAAGTGTGAACTGAAGATGAAGACGCAGCGAGAGCTTGCCCTGCTGGGCCGCACGGCTGTGCGCCTCCACCCGCGTGCTCGCAGCAGCCCCCTGGGATTGGACTGTGGGGTCCCTAGCTTAGCTAGTGACGATTCGTCAGGTGGTCAGAGGCGTGCCCCTCAGCGTGCCGGGCTGTCAGGGGTGGGCCCTCGAGTCCTGGGGAGGACGGGCTTGTGTGTTCACAGCCCCCTGTTCTCACTCCCCAGGTCTCCCAGCCTTGGTGGTGCCCAGAGAGATGGCCTGCTCGTCCGTCGGCACTCATAGTGAGGGAGATGGGTCTGGACAGGTAGGAAGGTTGGGTTATTTTAATTTCCCTCCTATTTTTCCCAGCAAAGCTTGTGATTATTACATTAATCTTCCAGGCGAAGTTTTTACGACCAATCCCTCGCTGACTATGAGAAGTTTCTCCATCCATTACCAAGAGGGAAACAGACCCTGGCAGGGAGGGAAATATTTGTTACATCTTATCTGGCTGACACGCAATCTACCAACAATTACAGCAGCCCCATTTTTTGCACTATTTCAGCTCCGACGTGAAGAATTGTTGTAATATTAACGTGAGGCAGGGAGGGGGCTGTTGGTAGGAAGTGGCTAATCTTCCACGGTCTGGTCCCAGGCTGTCCTGGGTGCCTCCCAGCAAGCCAGTTGGCTGAGCTGCCGGTGTTAGTGGCCAGGAATGCATGTGAGGGCCCGGGGCCTAAGGGCTCTTGGAAAGGGGGGTCCCTGCTTCCATTTTCTCAGCCCATGTCTTCTCACCACCACACCTCTTAGGTTACACCCCCAAGGTTGGCTCTTACAGGCCATCTGTTTTTAGAGCTGAACAGATGGTGGTGACTTGTTGGCTAGCAGACCTCTCTCAGCCGCCTTTCTAACAACATGGAGCTCCGCAGTGGTGGGCCTGTGTTCCCTGTCGTTCCCAGCTTGGGTTCTCTTTGACCCTTGCCCTTGATCCCTCTGGTTCTTGAGCTTTGGTTTCCTCCTGTGAAGAGGGACTGGTGTGTGGACTTGGGGGTCTGGTGTGGCTGCATCAGGCACTCGTTTATTGAGATGCAGTGAAGAGCCCCGACCCCTGTCCCTCTTGGAGGAGGAGGAGGCCACACTTCATCCAACAGGAACCAGAAGCGGCTGGGCGCCGCGCCCTGCCCCTCCCGGTGCTGACAGCCCGTCCTGGGAGAGCTGGAGGTCCCCTGCAGCTGGACCCTTCAGCTAGGCCCACAGACTGGAGAGGGGAGAGAGCCGGCAGGGGTCTGGGCCTTTTCCTCAATGTCCACTGCTTCCAGGAAGGGTGTGCTGGCCCTCGCTGCCCCCTGGCCCCCTCCTCAGCGAGGTGCAGGCAGGGCTGGGCAACGGGGATGGGGGCACTGGTTTCCCGCCTCGTCCCAGCCTAGCCCCGCCCTTTGGCGTCTGGGGGCAGGCCGGCTGAGAGTAGAACGGGGTCCAGTCATCCAGCCCTATCCTGCCTCAGCTTCCTGGGAACAGAAGGCCCCGGGGAAGGGGTGCCGGGGCGGCCGCAGGGCTGGCTGTCGCTGGCTGGCCCCGTCACCCTGGCCGTCACTCACGGCAGGCGCGGTGATTAATGGCCAGGCTGCGCCGCCCGGGCCGCCATCAGCTCGCGTCTGCGGCGATGGATGCGCTGTCAGGCGCCCGGCCTGCGCTGACCCCGGCCCGGCCGGCGCGATCAATGGGCGGCGCGCGCGGCGGCTGGGCCGGCGCGATAAGATGCGCCGATGGGCGCCCGCCGGCCGCCCGCTCGACACCGCCGTCGCCGTGTGATTAATGGGGACGCGGCGGTGCGGGGGATGCACGCGCGCGCACGGGGCCCGTCGGTCCCAGGACACTGGTACGCCGCCCTGCGCGAAGGCTGGGCTCGGCACCGCCGTTCGACCTCCACCCGCGGGCCGCCAGCCTCTCCTCACGGCCCAGCGTCTGAAAACCTGGGCTCTGGCCCGATCGCCCTCATTCTCCCTGGCCCCGTGCGCGAGGGCGTACAGGCTGGAGACAGACGACGGCATGCGGCCGGGGAGGAGCGCGAGCCGGTGCTGCGGGGACGGCTGGGGGGGCTTCCCCGAGGAGGTGACGGGGGCGAGCAGCAGCCGGGCTCGCACCAGGCCCTCCTATCCCTTTCCGGGGTCCCTGCAGCCGGTCGGCCGCGCGCCCCCCGCCTCTGCGAAGCCACAGCGCCCCTGCGCGGCGTCCGCGCACAGCGCCTCAGCCCGGGGTGGCCAAGCCGGCTGGCGGCTGGGCCCTCCTGCCCCGCGATGGAGAGGAAGCCCGTGGAGGGGCAAGGAAGGAGCATGCATCCAAATGCCCACGGGTCAAAGAGCATCAGGGAACTTTACTGAACACGGCTTTTAATTTTAAAAATCTCCCTTGCCCCCTGCCGTCAGCCACCCTCTGCTTTCCAGCATTTTTATTAAGATTCTTCACCTCCACTCCTTTGCACTTTTTTCGTTTTTATGCATATTCACATATATACCACTCAGGGTAGTGTGATGCCCCCCTCCCTCCCTCCCCGAGGGTCTGTTTTGGGGCAGGGAAGTCGGGGGGCACAGCCCAAGGGGGCCCATGGGACTGTCTGGAACCAGGCACTAAGAGGTGTTGACATCCCTGCAGAGCCTTCTGCTGACCCTTGGACAGGAACACAAGCCCACCCATTTCCCGTGCAGTGAGCTTCCTGAGGACTTAGCCAGGTGGGGAACTGGGCCCAGTAAAGGCCTTCAGCAGGAGCAGGCCGGGGTGGAGGGCGGCCGTGGGCCTGGAGCAGGCTGGCTGGGTGCCCCAGGAGGCTCCTGCGTGCAGTGGCTGGGCGGCCCTCCCCAGGCCCCCCTCTTCTTGCGAGGCCCCCGCGGGAGCTCCCCGGGGCCCGCTGCTTCTCTGGTGGGGTAGGGGGAGCCCATGCTCCAGGAAAGGCCCCAAGTGGGCAGCGTGGGCAGGGGCTCCAGGGCTGTCCCGCCGCAGGCAGAGCCCAACCGCCAGGCGGGCAGGGCTGCCGCGCTTCTCGGGGAGCTCCCCTGACCGGAGTCTCTGGGGGCTCTGACGGGGCACCCTGCCTGCCTCACGCTTCAGTGCCAGCTTCCCCAGGCTAGGCCCGAGCACCTGTCCCGCCAAGGGTCCCAGGGTCCACCCTGCCTTGCCAGCACACCCCCTCAGAGACATTTCCTGATGAGAGGAGGGCCAGGGCCCCACGTGGACGGCTCAGGAGGAAGGCCCTGTCCGTGTGTCGTCGTGGGCCCCCGAGGAGGCGGGGTGGACAGCTTTGGGTGCAGCCTCGTCTGGACGAGAGCAACAGCTCACAACACGGGCTCACGTCACTGTGGAAACGCCTGCCATCCAGCTCGATGGAAACTGCTGGAAATTTCTGCATGGCACATCCCAGGGAGCAGCCATCGCGCCTGCCACTGCGGCGCCCAGTGCTGGGGGTCCAGGGCCGAGCGGAGGCCCTCCGAGGCGGCCGTCTGTCAGCGGCCAGGAGTGGGAGGACATGTGCCACAGCCAAGGGCAGCAGCCTCTCGGCCCGGACGTGGAGCGCTGGCAGCCACCATGCTCACAGCTAAGTCCACCGCCCATCCCTGGAGGGGCTGTCGGGGCCCGCACGCGCGCAGCAGCAGACACCCGGGCACCGAAGCTCTCCAGGTTCCCGCCAAGGGGGAGCCCTGGGCACCGTGCAGAACTGGGACTCAAGTCTCACACGTCCCCTGGGCCCCCAAAGGCAGCCAAAGCCATGCCCTCCTCTCACTGGCCTCGGCAACAGAACTGAAAACCAAGAGGCCACCAGCAGGCAGCTTGTAAAAAGTTGGCTTTATTTGTCTCTTATTCACCTTATCTCAGTTATGCCGCTTGGGCGTCCACAGTGACAGTCCCCTGGAAGTCGGGGTCAGCCCGCCTCCATGACCAGTGACGGCGGGTCAGCAGCCTGAGCTGTGCCGTGGTCCGAGGCTGCAGCGGGGCTGCGGGGCGTCAGGTCTCCGCGTGGGACTGGGTCGGACAAGGCCACGTGTGGTGTGGTGGGTGCCCCGGCCTGGGGGGACCGGCTGGGGCCCATCCTGGCTCTGTTGCCAACTCGCCAGGTGGTGCTGGGCAAGTCTCATCCCTCGGTTGGTCTGCTTCCTGGGCAGCACGGCCAGTGAGGTCTCGGAGCCCCTGGACTCAGATGGGTGCCGAACTCGCCACCTCTACTGGCTCTGTGCTTCAAAGGCCGCCGTGTGCCTGTTGCTGGGCCCACGCGCCCAGGGGGACCCTCTCCAGGGAGCACCCCTCAGGTTGCAGCACCTAACTCTGCTGGTCCCCAAGAGGGGCTTCCCTAAAGGCCTTTGAGAAGGTTCTAATTCCCAAGATCTAGGTCACCTATTATTGCAAACAGAATTTGTCTCAGACATAATTGTCTTTTTGTATCAAACATGGGCGAAACTTGGCAAAAAAGCAATGTCTCTGAGCCTGATGTCACTGTGGATCTACAGCCTATCTCCTCTCTGCTGGGCAGTTCTGGTGACACTGCAGATCAGAGGCATCCTGGCATTGACTTCACTTGTGTTTGGTCCTAAGCACAGTAAAAACGTTCTAAAAAAGTACAAATGGGAAGTCTTCAGCCTAGAAGGTAGCGTGTGGGGCCGGCCACAGCTCCTCCCCTCCCCAGGGGCGGGTGTGGGGGACACAGCACAGAGAGCAAGCAGTGATGGCCAGGGCGACTGGACCGCTAGCAGCCCAGGGTCCTCCATACCACGGACCACGCTCAGCCCGGCGCGGCTGCGAAGCTGTGGCTCCCAGCCTGGCTCCATCAGCGAGGACACCTGGTCAGCCAACAGAAGGACGCACAGATGGGCCAGGAGGGTCTTCTGGAAATTCATCCCTCTATTTTGGAAGAAACTCTGTCCTAAACAACTAACTTCAAAAGGGAAAATGATTGTCTTCCAGAGAAACCGTTTTAAACCAGATGTTCTGGCCGGACTGTGACGGGGACACGCCAGCGAGCCACCCTCAAGCACCAGAAAACAGCCTGCTGCTGGGGGCCCGCCTCCTGCCACCTGAGACAGAGACGTTTCAACAACGTTTGTGCTTCTAACCAATGAGACGCTCCGTCTGAGGGGGCAGCCGAGACTGCTGCGGTCGCCGGCAACACTGAGAAGGTGCAAAGGCTAACGAAAAAGTGACGTGGGCGCCGGAGATGCTGACGGCCCAGCCCCGCCTCTAGCAGTCAGCCGAGGAAGGCCCCACTTCTGCAGTTCCGCTGCCAGTGGCAGAACGAAAAGCAAAATTCTAAACTGGGAAATTTCTAACACTTTTCAAAGTGGAATGAAAAGAACATGAAATTCAAACACACGAGTGAACCGAAGCCCTGAGCCTCAGAGGCCCGAGCCGAGCTCCTGCAGCGCGGCTCCCTCGTCCCCTCTTGGCCGCCTCTCCGGGTCCGGGGCCGCGGCTCAGAACAGCAGGGCTCCCATGCTGCCGACCTCACTCTGCTCCTTCACGAAGATCTCAAAGTACTGGTAGATGATGGTGACCGCCAGCAGGATCCCGGTTCCAGACCCGATGGCGCCCAAGAAGTCGGCCAGGACTGAGAGGGCCCCGATGCACAACCCGCCGAAGGCCGCGGCCGTGGGGATGTACCTGGGGAGGGGCGCGCGTCAGCCACAGGCTGCCCAGAGCCCTCGGGCCTGACCCAGGCCGCGGGAGCCGCTGGGCAGTAACCCACGCCCCTCTGCCTGAGAACCCTGACTCCCTCAGGGAGCCTCCACGGCCCCGTGAGGCTTCATCTGCTCAGGCAGCCTCACGGTCTAGACTAGGCCTTGCTGTCTCAGGAGCTGCCACACAGGTCACTGGTGGCTACTGAAATAGGAGCAATCCAAATCGAGACGTTGAAAACGTCACAAAAGATTTTGAAGACAGGAACCTAAAATGTCTCCTTATGACTTTTCGCTATAGTTCTCCGCAACGGCACTATAAATCTAGAGGTGTCAGAGAATTCTTTTTTTTTTTTTCTTTTTTTTTCTTCTTCTCTCCAAGGAATGAACGGAACTGCCCACCCCTCTGTCAGGCACGAGAAAATGACCTGGCGTTTGCCACACTGCCTGCCTGGGTTGAGGCAGGGGAGCTGTGGTCCCCAGGACAGACCCGGCCCTGACTACAGAACCTGATGCTGGACACAGTTCTGCAGGAAACCACCACGTTCATCCACTCGCACACGGACCGAGGCAGAGTGAGCTAAGGTGGCTGAAGAGTCTGGGGCCCACGCTGCTGCCCACGGGCCAGCGCCACCGCGGGGGGAGAGGCCTGCAGACCGCCGCAGCCCCCTCACCCCTCCCACCCGAGTCCAGCCCCCTCGCCCGGCCCGGTGGCCTCAGCCTCCAGCACGGGCCTTCCACGCGCCGACGCCCCAGGCGGCCTCCACCGGCCTCCCTGGCCTCCCCTGCACTGGACGCTCCCGGGACGCCTGAGCCGCCACCGCCCTCCTGGACTGCCCCGAGAGCCCTGCAGAGGCGGCCCCGCGGGAGCAGGGCGAGGAGCCGCCCCGCCAGCGCCCGCACCGCGCCGCCCGCCACAAGCGTCGGGTCTCCCCGCTCCGGCTGCCCCACTGCAGGCAGGACCGGCGCACCGAGCCGACCTCGCCAGCATGGGCACTGGCAGGCTCGTGGGTGCCTGAAGACCCCGGAGCCCCGTCGGCCTCAGGGTCGGCGCTCACCGGTTGAGCTCGTGGACCATGGACGTCTCTCGGTGGCCCCTCATCACCATCTGTTGCTCCTTCAGCTGCTTTGCGACCTGTGTGACGCCCCCCCGGGGGGACGAGGGTCAAGTTCAGACGTGGAGCCCAAGGCCGGGCAGACTCGCATGTCGCCAGACGCGGGCGCCCCCCAGCACCCTCACAGCACGGTGAAACCGCCGCCAGGAAGGTGAAGGGAAAGTCAAGTTGACTCTGCCTGCTGCTTCCCAGATAAGCGCGGGTTCATTTACCCCGGGCTCCGGCCATGGTCGCCAACGCTTTGGGACTGGCTCTAGCAAGGACTAACTGCCACGAGTGTGCACAGGCCCATCCCAGGAGGGCCAAGCCGAGCTCCGTCACACCAGCCGCAGGCGAAGATGCTGGTGCTGCACGAGCCCCCTCCCAGAGGCTGTAACTCCTACTCACGTCCTTGGCAGAGGAGCCCGAGACCTCAATCCACGTCTTGGAGAAGAAGGCACAGGAGCCCAGCATGAACACGATGTACACCACGGCGTGGACGGGGTCTTCCAAGACAGAGCCGAACGACTCGGGCGGGGACAGGTAATAGCAGAGGCCACCCACGGGGTAGGCCCGTGCCGGCCCGCCGGAGGAAGTGTCCTGGGGGGATTTCAGAGAGCGGTGAGCGCCGCTCCTCACCTCACCTCAGCAGACACAGCTCTGAGCAGGCGCCCGCCGTGCAGCTGTCCCCCCCACAGAAACGTCACCGAGTCTGTGACAGGCACAGCCGGAAAGCATCTCGGGGGAAACCAAACGCTGCTCGTGAGCAAGGCACACGGTGCCAGCCCTGCCCAGCCACAGCCCTCACGCACCAGCCTGCGGCCCGGTACTTACAGACCAGGTACCCAGCAGGCTGACCAGCAGGTTGCCACTGAAGCGGGCGGACAGCATCTGGGAGATGACGTACAGGTTGGACACCAGGGCGGACTGCAGGATGATGGGGATGTTGGACGTGTAGAAGAGCTTGATGGGGTAGGTGTTGTACTGGCCCCGGTACCGGGCCGACTTGATGGGCAGGTCGACGCGGAAGCCCTGAGGAGCCGAGCAGAAGCGAGGTTCTCACTGCCGCGCTCGAGCCTCGCACAGGGCTCAGACCCGGGGCCTCAACGTCCCCCCCAACCCGCCACCGCACTCGGGGGCAAAGGGACAGAAGGGTCCAGAAAAGCTGCTTAAAATGCACCCAAGCACAGCAGTGTTTTTGTCAAAAAACAAAGTCCACCGCATTACAAGAACACCAACGTGGAAAACAGGAAGTGCTATCGGTGGCTCGCCAGAGTCTTCCCCCACTCCCACGGCAGCCCCGGACAAGCCCCGTGCTCAGCAGGGCCCTTCACGGATGCTTCACTCACTGCAGAGAAGCTAGGCTTCTCTACTTTTCTGTGAATACAACCTTTCCCGCTGAAACCCTTGGAAAATAAAAAGGGCTTCCTTTATGTACTTTTTTTTTTAACAATCTCCCAGTGCCTAGAACAGGGTTCAGAATATTTAAAATAAAACCTCAACAATCAAATCCCAAGACCCCAAGGAGCTAACGTGTCATTAACGAGCATCAACTAAAGGAATGGATGTGTTCAGCCCTCAGTGCCTGGCGGCATAAACACCCATATGTCAAGATACAAAGCGGCTGACTGAAGAAGACAAACACGAGTCCAACTAGAGAAAAACAGTGGGCAGCTGAGGTCTCCTGTGCAGAAGCACGTTATGCAGACTTACCACTTAAGAGCTGACAGTTCTCTCGAGGACAAGGAAACTGCCTAGAGGCACCTACAGACCTCAGCTAAGCAGCAGCGAGGTCTCAGACCTTGATTCACTTCTCTTGAACTAAGACTGTGAAATGTTAGAGCTGCCTCAGCTTGTTAGTTCAGTCGAGTTCCCGTAAGTCCATGGAACCCACTCCGTCAAATGCCACCTGCTCACTTCACTGCTATATAATAGCCCACACCACCCCTGGGGTGTGGGCATGGGAAATCCAACCCTCCCCAGGGCTGGATCTGAACGCACCTGGAAATAGATGACCACCGCAAAGACAAAGATGGTGGCGATGAGATTCATGAGGTTGGGGAGGTTCTGGCGGTAGAACGCCTCTCGCAGGGCTCGGACCTTGTCAGTACGGGTGGCCAGCAGGTGAAAGAGCGCGATGATGGCGCCTTCAAACTCCATTCCTGTTACGGGCGAAGGTAGGCGCAGGAGCTCGGGGCGGCCCTAAGCACCCTGGCGGCCGGAACCCAGGACAACGGGACCAGCTCCGGGGACCACGGGGCGGTGAGGCCTCTCAGCCCTCCTTTCTGTTCTGCAGACTCCAACCTGCAGAGGGGGCTATTCTTCCTTTTTGAATGAACTGATCTGTGGCTGGTGAGTCAACGGCCATCAGGCATGTGGAAGGGCTGTCTGAACACCAGGTTTCCCTGGTGGCTCAGCCAGTCAAGAGTCAGCCTGCCACGTGGGAGACATGGGCTCAATCCCTGGGTCGAGAAAACACCATCCAGAAATGGCAGCCCACTCCCGTGTTCTTGCCTGGAGAGTCCCATGGACAGAGGAGCCTGGCGGGCTACCGTCCATGGGGCTGCAAAGCAGCAGACACGACTGATCGACTAAGACTTTCAACATCTGAAGAGCTGTGTCTGTGGAGCTCCAGCTTAAGGGGTCTTGCCTGAGGGGCCCAGAGGTGCCCACCCCACGTCCCTGGGGGTTCCCTGGCAGCACAGCACCCAGACCTGTGGCCAAGCTGTCCAGACGAGGCAGGCTCGGGCTCTCTGCTCCTCACCCCAACAGTCAAGCTGAGAGGACAACACATGTGCCCACACACGGCTGACTGCTGTCGGAGCTCACGCCTCCCCACAAGAGCGCGCCGCGGAGGCAGGCCGGCAGCAGACCAGGAAGAGGGCCAGGGAGCGGAGCACGCCCACCAGCGGCTCACGGGAAAGAGCAGGAGCGGCCTTCACCGGTGTGGGGACCTATTTCAGTCTAGTGACAAGATTACATGGGTTCTGGAGGTAAGGGACTGTTTTCGGCCCTTACTTCAAAGAAAACAGTCAAATGTGTGCAAACATTTGCTTCTCCTAGGCCTCTTCTGAGTGAATAACGCATTTAGTGATGAAAAACCTTTCCTAGTCAGCCATACTTCCCTGAATGTTAGGAACTTTTTCTTGAACACAACCTCTGTAAGCTGGCGCTGTCACATTCACCGTGCACCTGCTGTGAGCCTGGAGTCCCGCGAGTTCATGTTATTTGTCATTTAATCCTGGCAGCCAAGGGTGCGGCCAGGATCGGAGCTCAGCTTTCGAGCGCCCACATCCCTGCCTCTTTTACAAGGCTGCCCCTTGCAGAGGCTGGAAGCAACTGGGTGTCGACCAGGGAAGCCCTGCCCTGCCCGCACAGTGACAGCCAGGCTGCGCCGAGTGAGGCGGGGCCGGCTGTCCCGGCAGGGCCAGTGTTTGTGACCCTAACCCTATCCCTAAGTGACACATCGGTGTCAGCAGAAACCTGTATCTTCAAAACCTCTACAGATACACACGCAGAACAATCAGAAGCGCTGTACCTAGAACTGATCCTTCTTCCTTAAACGGGGGAGCTCGAGGGCTTTTTACCGAACCCCATCCACGGGCACCTCTTCCCTGAAACGGGGGACGCGGGTGCTTTTTACCGAACCCCGTCCACGGGGCACTTCTTTACTGAAACGGGGGGACCCTGGTGCTTTTTACCAAACCCTGTCCACGGGTGCTTCTTCCATGAAACGGGGGGGATGCGGGTGCTTTTTACCGAACCCTGTCCATGGGACACTTCTTCCCTGAAATGGGGGGACACTGGCACTTTTCACCGAACCCCATCCACGGGCTCTGGGGCCTCACCTCGGCCAGTGTTGACGGTGGTGGGGCTGAACGCCTTCCACACGATGGTCTCGCAGATGTTCGTGGCGATGAACAGGGAGATCCCAGAACCCAGGCCGTACCCCTTTTGCAGAAGTTCATCCAGAAGCAGAACAATCAGGCCAGCCACAAAGAGCTGTCAGTATTAAAAAATAAAAGTACAGAAACCTAAAAAGATGGCATGACTGCTCCCCATAGCACAATTCTGTCCTTCCTTGGGAACTAGCTTCTCCGATGTGAACCCGTGAAGGCAGAGGGCATGCCAGCCGTTGGGGGCCCCTCTGAACTCAGAAGGGAATCAGGGGCCTGGACCTCTTCTCAGGAAGTTTCTCTTAGCCTGACTCAGGTCTGCTGTTGGGCAGGGGTGGGTGTGAGGGCCTCAGAGGGGTGCGGCCTGGCGTTACCTGTATGGTGATGAGCAGGCAGACGCCGGCGCCCATCTCGGATGGGTCCCCGTACATCCCCGTCATCACGTACACGATGGATTGCCCGATGGTGATGGTCATGCCGAACACTAGAGGCGGGAGGAGAGCGGTGCTCAGGGGGCTGCCGTGCGTCCTGAGGATACGGTGACCAGACACCGACTGCATGCCAGCAGGACCAAGGTGAGGACAACAGACCCTGCCCCCAGGGAGTTCGGCCAGGAACCCTCCACACCCATGTCGACAGAGTGACAATAACGCAAACTCTGAACAAAACCTCGTGAGCTCTCTCATTCCACCTCCTCCTAGATGCATCACCTTTCAGTGACGGGCAGAGGGAAAGACTGGAAGCACCACCACCCAGCTTCTTACGACAGATGTGAACACAAGTCAGGGACGTCCGCAACCTGCACACCACACTGAGGTCATCATCGGGGGCCCGGGTTCCAGGAGCGCTCGCCCAGGGCGCCCAACAGGCTCGCGCTTCAGGGCACAGCACACAAACGCGATAAGGCGAGCCCTTCCCAGTTTGTATTTAATGTATTATTTAAGGAAAAACCTATCACGCCACCAATTCACTCAGCCCACTCCCCTGCCACACAGCTTTCCTGGAGCTCTCCTAAAGAAGGCTTTCCTTTTTATGGACAGTCTTGTATCCTGTATCATTCACTACACTCCACCGGGACGCACAATGGAATCTACACGTTTCTGCTGGATTCCACGACGTTACATGGATCCTGCAGCAGGGGACTGGGATTCGGCTCCAGCCCTTCTGCTTAGCTTGCCACCCCCTGCCCGGATACATACATTCTATTCCAAAGCACCTGTCATATGCAGTCCCTTTTCGACTTCTTAAAAGTGCTCAATAAGACTGAATTCTTAAGGCAGAAAAAAGAGCAGAAAACTTTGTTTTTATAAAGTCTAAGACCAAAGAGAAAACAGCTGATCTATACTTCTGAAAAATAATGCACATATATATTTTAAAATCCTGATTTGTGTCTGAAATTGAGAAGTTTAAACCAGATTAGTCTTTTGTGCTCAACTCTTTAACCTACTAACTTAAGATCTTAAAACATGCTGGTGTGGAAGGAAAAATGGCCAGGTAGGAAAGTGTAATTATTATTTCCTGATTAATACCTGTCAATCCACAGTCAGGCTTAACTTGGTTAATTCTGATGACTTTACCAGTGCTGCTTACGATTTACTACTGGGAAAATATCATTACCCCCATGTTTACAGGTGAAGAAACTGGGACACGAGCTGCGTCTAACTGCCCAGTCACACAGCTGGTACCCAGCAGAGCTGAGCGGAGAGAAGCATCATGCCTCTGAAGTGACTGCTTTAAAACTCCCACAGGAGGGAGATCACTCTGCCAGGTACCACCACTGGCTAGGCACTCACTGGTGTTTCACACACAATATTCAAATGAAGTCTTACCACAGCCCTGCTTCTAAGTGGGAAGGACAGGGCGATGGTGGAGGGCAGGCTCTCCAGCCCGGCTCCCTCCCTGGACCTGCAGCCCTGGGCACTGGCACCCTTCCTCTGCCTGCTCCAGCCCCTCCCAAGTGCCCTCTTGCTAACAGGCCACACAGGGCTGGGGGGAATAGGGAATTACAGCAACGGCGCCCCCACTCCTGCCAAAGACAACCAACCGCACCCCCCCCCGCCCCGAAAACCCCAAGCCAATTTTTGATGACCCAAACTTCGTAGCAAATTCAAATTCTCAATTATAGACATCTGAACATCATTTAAAACCGCACTTACACTTCTGGGCTCCGTTGAAGAGGGCTCGGTCTTTCGGGGTGTCACCAACCTCAATTATTTTGGCGCCAGCCAAGAGCTGCATGATGAGGCCAGAGGTGACGATGGGCGAGATGCCCAGCTCCATCAGCGTGCCTTAGGAAGGGGGGAAAAACACAGCTGACGTCAGTGTGGAGAAGATGCTGCTAAGAAAATGGTCGCACACAGCTGGACTATGTGCCCCAGCACGAACCCAACGTGCTTCAGTCTGCCAGCAACATTTAACTCAGAGAATCGCCCCCAAATATCAGCAATGAGAGGGTAATTCAATGCATTCTGTTCAGTCTGCCAGCTAACATTCTGTTTAGGAGTCACATGGCATTTAAACTGACTGCTACATTTAAATTCATGAAAATAGATTCACGCTGGTTGTACAGAGATAAGATAGGTTTGTCTCTTCATCAGTTAACAAAAAAGGATAACATTAGAATAATTCCCAGAGTCTGGAGATGAGGGCCATACAATTGTATCTGGTTTCAAATAAACCTCTATTTCCATTATACTGAAACAAGCTATACTTCCAACTGACTTAGAACTTAATTTGAATCATATTTTTAAAACGAGTTAATCAAAAGCAGTATCAGCATAAACATTCAAAATCCCCCCTCACCCCAAACAGGTAACTGGTTAGAGTATACAATACACTGTTCATGCATTTATTTCTTTGGACACGTATATGTAACCTGTAGATATGGACAAGACACAGCTGAGAAACAAATTACATATTCTAAAAAATGTTATCAAAACAGTAGAAAGATAGAAATGTCATCATTTCAGCTGTTTAAGAAGCATTCCAATGTTTCCATGTTTTTTAAAAACCTCTACCATGGAGACTCATCTTCTGGCTACAGGTTTTGTCCTGCATACAAAGCAGTTCTAACAGGATGACACGCGTGGCGCTGAACCCAGCACTCACTAGGGCTGTTTTAGCACAGCATGCTAACACTCTCTCCAAACACTCTGGATTCCATCTAACGCCAAGCCTGTAATGTAACTGCAGGCGGCCAGTCAAGCCCGCGCAGCACGGGGTGCAGAGGGCCAGCCCTACCTCTGTTGGAGGCGAGGATCACCCTCATCCAGTAGAAAGGGTCGGCGGAGTCCGAGGACATGATTCCAAACAGGGGGATCTGCAAACAAGCAGAGAGGAGCCAGGCACGTGCTTCTGGCCCCTCGCACCACCCAGACCCCAGACGCAGGCGCAGGCGCAGGCTCACCTGGCAGCACACCAAGAAGATGAAGAGGGTGATGGCGGTCCACAGCACCTTCTCCCTGAACTGGATCTGCGGCGGGACGGGCGAAGCGAGACAGGGGTTACCTCCACGCGCAAATCAGCGGAGACGGGCTCTGCTCAGACGCCGCTCTCCGCTCACAGAAGAGCAAACCTTGTGCAGTCCACACTAGGCACCGAGCATAAGTGTGTGTACTGCATGCTTTCCGTGTACACGTGTGTGTGCACACGTGTGCTCAGTCACATCCAACTTTTTGTGACCCCACGGATGTAGCCTGCCAGGCTCATCTGGCCATGGAATTTCCCAGGCAAGAACACTGGAGTGGGTTGCCATTTCCTCCTCCAGGGGATATTCCCGACCCAGGGATCAAACCCACGTCTCCTGCGCTGCAGGCAGATTCCTTACCTCGGAGCCACCTGGGGAGCCTTTCTGTGTATAAGGCACAGATGCAAAGACCTGCATATACATCATCTCATTTAATCTTCACACAACACAATGTTATCCTCACTGTTTTACGAGAAAACTGAATCTCAGAAAAATGGACTCCCCTGGTGGCTCAGACGGAAAAGCGTCTGCCCACAATGCAGGAGACCCAGGTTCAATCCCTGGCTCAGGAAGATCTCCTGGAGAAGGAAATGGTAACCCACTCCAGTGCTCTTGCCTGGAGAATCCCATGGATGGAGAAGACTGGTGGGCTGCAGTCCATGGGTTCGCAAAGACTTGAACACTACTGGGCAACTTCACTTTCACGTTTGTCTCAGATCCCACAGCTGTAATGGATGTGAGTACAAAGCCTGCGCTCTTAACCGTCAGTTTGAACAGTTTAGGATCCGACCCAAGATCAAAGAATAGAAATAGAAAGTGATTCTGAAATAGACTCGCCCTAACAGCACAGGAGCATCACTTCTCACTTGAAAGGGTTTTGTAATGGACAAAGTCTTGCTATGCTGGAATCAACTAATCTGAAACCTGTGTTTCTTTGTGTATTCTCCAGTATTCTCCGAATTAAGGGTAAAACAATGCTATAAACACCGGAGGAGCAAGGAGAGCTGCATACTCAGCCAACTCACTAACTACTGGTAGCATCTGTTTAACAAGAGTTTTCACATCTCCTCAGGTATGTCAGTAGGATAGGTGACTATTCACAATCATTTTACAGATCACTGAGAAGCATCTTTGGGGAAGCTGAGACACCCTGCCCGAGGCCCCTCTGCTCTGAAAGCTAAGTGTCTTCATAGCACCTGCGGCCTGCACAGCAAGAATGAATGGCTTTAAAGGCTTAGAAAACACAGGAGTTATTCTGTGGACTAAGAATCTTAACACGGAAACACCTTGTGAGTGAAGATAGTAAGTGAACAAAATCATGTTCTTCAAAAACACTTTTTAAGCTTTGTTCTAAGTGAGCACAGAGCCGGAGCCACAGGTCTCTGGTCAGACAGGGCTACAGCGCCTCTGCACTGCCCACTGGACAACCACACCACGGTGCGGGGATCGGACACCGAGACACTCCACGTGCCGCTGGGGGGAGTCCACAGAACTCTTCCTCTTGAGAATGCTCCCGCATCCCTTCCCACTGGGAAATCAGGAGGCAGCCAAGGAAATCAACGCCTTGTCAGGCTGACCGGTAACATAACAAGCTAGGAATGATTCTTTATGGGGAAAGATAGTGGACAGGTCTTACAGGACTCCTCATTCCTAAATAACCAAGTCTCCTCTCCTGGAAGCAGCCAAATTCAACAGCAAAACATCAAAAACTGTTTATCCCAGTTTTGCCTCCCATTCCTCTGGAGTTCACTCTCTTGGCAGAGTCCTCTCAACCTCTACCCTACCCCAAAGCAATTGTCTCATCTGTCTGGCTCCCTGCCCACCCTTTCTGTTCTATCAATACTGAACACCCTCCCACCCACTGGTCTTCTCTGCCTCAGCAGACTCCATCCTCCTTATGCCATTAGAATTCCTGTCCTTTCCTTCAAGGCTGCCATCAGACACAATGTCTTCCAGAGTCAATCCCTTCTGGAGCCACTGCTGTACCCTGCACAGATTTCTACTGCTCACCCACCACACTCAGTTACACACAAGGCCAAGGTCACACATTAGAGGCTGTGTGAGGGTGGATCCCAGGCGAGCCTGCCTCCAGAGCCAGGCCCTTCCTACTGTGTTGGGGACACACACACAACTTGGCCTATCAGCCCATCAAAGCCAGCACATACATGGAGATGCAAAGAATGTGAGGACAAAAACACCTTCCTATTAATTAGCCTAAGAACCCAATGAAGCTTTTCTTCCTTGTTTTTAACAGCTTCGCTTACACTGGCAACTGGGCCTGAAGCCGTGCACGTGCAAAAATCCTTGATAAAGAGTCAACAGAGCTCTACATTCCTATCTTCCCACGTTTTAATGAACCTGCTGTAGACAGGAGTCACAATATGCCCTCATTCTCGATAGAGTGAGGGCACACGGAAAAGCGACAAACTCAGTTACACACAGTAATGTGGCTGCTCTCTACTCCCTTCAGCATCTGGACAAAAAGAGCATCTCCGGGAAAGAGGACAGCCGGCGATCCGCTCCCGCTGGAGCGGGAGGAGGGAGAGGAGCTCAAACCGGAGGGTCTGAGGCTCTCGAGGCCTTCCTCACTCAGGCCAGGGTCCTCTTCGGGGCAGCGCAACCCCCGGGTTCGGGCCACCCGAGGAACGTCCACAGAGGACGCTCCAACCGAAGCCCGGCGCGGCTCGGGGGAAAGCACGCCGCCCGGACCAGACTCGGGGGAAGGGGCGTCCAGTCGGCGCGTCGGGGCCGCTTCACCGGGGTGCAGCAGTCTCCCCGAGCCTTGCTCCAACTCACCTTCCGCTCCGGCTTCTGAATTTCGGGCAGGATGACACAGAAGGGCTTGATGACTTCCAGAAACTTGACTTTGGGGGGAGAAACAAGGGGAGAGTTAGGGCTGGGGGGCCCCGCGCCGCCCCGGGGAGCAGGGGCGCGGGGCCGGGTGGTCTTCCCTGCCGGGGGAGCGGGGTTCCGCCCGCGCCCGTGCTGCCCCGAGGGACTCACTCCCCATGGCGGCGGCTACTCGGCTCCGGGTCCCGCTTCGGCTCCGGGTCGCGCTTCGGCTCCGCCGCGCTCCGACTGCCGCTCCACTGCCACCGGGCCTGCTCTAGAGCGCGGCGCCTAGCCGAGAGACACGTCAGTGCTAGCGCCGCGGCGGCCGCTTCCGGTTCCGCTTCCTGCCACGCGCCACGCCCGCGCGCGTCGCCCGCGCCGAGACCACAACTCCCGGCGTGCAGCGGGGCCGCGCGGCCTGTCGGGAGGGAGGCCGGAGGGGCGGGGCGAGGCGCGGAGCCCGCCGAGAAGGGGGCGTACGCCTGCGCAGTTGGACCCGCGTGTTGGGGCCCGGAAGACGTTCCCCACGCCGGCCTGTCCCGCCCCCACGCTTCAGGGCAGCGGTGGTTCGTTTCTCGGGTGTAGACCATGAGCTCCTTAGTGCAGGCCTGTCCTGGGGCCGTCTGAGTGCCTGGCGCCCGGCAGGTGCGCGGCGGCGGACGACAGGCACCCTTTTGTGGGCTCTTCGAGCAAACCCGCGGCCGCTCGGGGCGCGGGCCCCGCCGACTCAGGGAAGGGGGCGGGGCCGGGGAGTCCAGGGGTCCCTCCCGGAGCCCCGGGAAAGGCGCCGTTGCGAGCGCGGCAGACGCTGCACCTGCCAGAGGTCTCCAGGGATAGGAGGCCTGCTTGGCGGAGGGCTGTGTGAGGGGAGCGATAACGTTTAAGGCTCTTGGGGCCGTTGGGCGGGGCGAGGGGTGCTGGACGCGGAGTTTGGGGTTTAAGTCCGAGCAGCTGTGATCGCCGGTGGCATGCGAGAGGTAATCTGAGGAAGGAGACTCCGTGACGTCAGCATCTGGAGCAGGCTGGCTCTGCTGCCTGGGTTTAGGGGAGGTTCCCGGAGCGCAGCCTGGAGCTGGGCCGAATGGAGTAGGAGAGGCCGGGGTGGAGAGGTGCTTTCTGCTGCCGTCAAGTCACTAAAGTCGTGTCAGACTCTGTGCGACCCTATAAACGGCAGCCCACCAGGCTCCGCCGTCACTGGGATTCTCCAGGCAAGGACACTGGAGTGGGTTGCCTTTGCCTTCTCCGCCAGTATTGGTTTAGGGATTGCTATTTCTCTTTTCGCTTCCCTCCCATTTCTAGCAGGTCTTTCCCTCAGGGTTTTTTCTTAGTTGGGAAGGCCTTTTTTGGAAACCTAACCCGTGGGTGGAAAATGCAAATGCCAGCAGGAGGTGGGCAGGAGTTTCTGTGAAGTGACCAGATGTGGTAGCATTTGCTATGCATCCCCCACAGAAAAACGTTAAGTCCGACCCTCCTCGGCCTGCTTCTGAGAGCAGCCCCATCTTCCCTTGCAGGACCCCTTTGTAATAACTGCTGCAGTTTTGTGTCAGCCCCTGGACACAATTCAGCGGGTAGCTCAGAGCTGGTATTTAGCACATGTGACCCTGCACCATCCTGATGGTGAAACTATTGAAACGCTTTATGGTAAAAATTATCATAGTGATTGTACTGTTGTTCAGTTGCTTCTTCAGTGCTTTGTGACCACGTGGACTGCAGCACACCAGGCTTCCCTGTCCTTCACCATTTCCCAGAGTTTATGCAAACTCCCATCCATTGAGTCGGTGATGCCATCCAGACGTCTCATCCTCTGTCATCCCTTTCTCCTCTTCCTTCAGTATTTCCCAGCATCAGGGTCTTTTCAGATGAGTCGGCTCTTTGCATCCAGTGGCTAAAGTACTGGACCTAGAGCATCAGTCCTTCCAATGAATATTTAGGGTTGATTTCCTTTAGGATTGACTGGTTGGATCGCCTTGCAGTCCAAGGGACTCTCAAGAGTCTACTCCAACACTACAGCTCAAAAGCATCAGGTGCTCAGCCTTCTTTATGGTCCAACTCTCACATCCATACATGACGACTGGAAAAACCGTATGTGTGACTATGCAGACCTTTGTCAGCAAAGTAATGTCTTTGCTTTTTAATACTTTGTCTGCGTTTGTCAGCTTTTCTTCCAAGGAACAAGTCTTAATTTCATGGCTGCAGTAACTGTCCACAGTGATTTTGGAGCCCAAGAAAACAAAAGTCTGTCACTGTTTCCATTATTTCCCTGTCTGTTTGCCGTGAAGTGATGTGACTGGATGCCATGATCTTAGTTTTTTGAATGTTGAGCTTTAAGCCAGATTTTGCATTCTCTTTTTTCACTTTCATCAAGAAGCTCTTTAATTCCTCTCCACTTTTTTGCAGTTAGGGCGATATCATCTGGATATCTGAGGTTATTGCTATTTCTTCTGGCATCTTGATTCCAGCTTGTGCTTTGTCCAGCCTGGCATTTCACATGATGTACTCTGCATATAAGTTAAATAAGCAGGGTGATAATATACAGACAATACACTCCTTTCCCAGTTTGGAACCAGTTTGCTGTTCCATGCCCAGTTCTAACTGTTGCTTCTTGACCTGCATAAAGGTTTCACAGGAGGCAGGTAAGGTGGTCTGGTATTCCCATCTCTTTCAGAATTTTCCGCAGTATGTTGTGATCCACACAGTCAAAGGCTTTAGCATAGTCAGTGAAGCAGAAGTAGATGTTTTTCTGGAATTCTTTTTTCTTTTTTCTATGATCCAGTGGATGTTGGCAATTTGATCTCAAGTTTCTCTGTCTTTTCTAAACCCAGCTTGTACATCTGGAAGTTCTCCTTTCATGTACTGTTGAAGCCTAGCTTGAAGGATTTTGAGCATTACTTTGCTAGCATGTGAAGTGAGTGCAGTTGTGTGGTAGTTTGAACATTCTTTGGCATTGCCCTTCTTTGAGATTGGAATGAAAACTGACTTTTTCCAGTCCTGTGGCCATTGTTGAGTTTTCCAAATTTGCTGGCATAATAAATGCAACGCTTTTAACAGCATCATCTTTTAGGATTTGAAATAGATCAGGTGGGATTCCCTCATCTCCACTAGCTTTGTTCCTAGTAATGCTTCCTAAGGCCCACTTAACTTTGCACTCCAGGATGTCTGACTGTAGGTGAGTGATGATACCATCATGGTTATCTGCGTCATTAAGATCTTTTCTATATAGTGTTTCTGTGTATTCTTGCCATCTTTTCTTAATATCTTCTGCTTCTGTTAGGTCCATACTGTTTCTGTCCTTTATTGTGCCCATCTTTGCCTGAAAAGTTCCCTTGGTATTTCTGATTTTCTTGAAGACTTCTTTAGTCTTTTCCATTATATTGTTTACCTCTGTTTCTTTGCATTGTTCACTTAGGAAGGCTCTTTTATCTCTCCTTGCTGTTCTTTGGAACTCTGCATTCAGATCTTTCCTTTTCTTCTTTACCTTTGGCGTCTCTTTTCTCACCTATTTGTAAAGCCTTCTCAGACAGCCATTTTGCCTTTTTCTTTTTCTTGGGGATGGTTTTGATCACCGCTCCTGTACAATTGTACTGTTACAATTAGCTGATATAAATTTTCATATAAACTCAGTGGTTTGTGCTGACAGTTTTAGGACATTAGTACCGGGGAATATGAATCTGCTGTTGTAACCACATCTGAGGAATATTCGTGGCACAGTTTGGTCTGTGCCACTGAAGGGACTGTGCCTAAGTTGTTTGTGTTAACAGAATGCAGATTGCTTTAGGAGAATCACTGACTTAAAATTTTGTCTGCCGAGTGTAATTCTTTTAAATTATAGCAAGTATGCAGTGTTTTTATGCTTATACGCTTAAGATTGTATTATAAATATTAAGAACAACTATCTAAAGTGAAGAGATGACAAAAATCTGGATATTTTTAATGTTTTTAAATATAATAAATCTGAGTCTTGTTAGTCTGAAGAACTAAGAAGGAATTATAATAGTAGTGAGTCCCAGCCTGGAACTTGTTTTGATACTGTGCAATAATCTGCACAAAGTAAAACTCGTGTTAAATACATATTGTTGGGTTGGCCAAAATGTTCTTTGGCGTTTTTCCATGAGATGTTACAGAAAACCCAAATGAACATTTTGGCCAACTCAATACATAAAACCTGTAGTCCTGGAATAAAAAATGACTTGATTTTTTTTCAACCAGGAATTTGAGTTAGTGCTCATGACAAGTTTTGGCTACAAATAGTGCTCAAAAGTTATGTGTTAAAAGATCAAAGTGCTAAATATGTGCATTTCATCAGGATGCTGTTAAAACGTGGTTCAGGTGAAAAAAATTGTGATAGAACTTAATTTTGGGTAAAGCAATACAAGATATAAATTAACTAATTCTTGTATTTTTCTCAACAAATTGTATTTCTTACCACGTGTCATGCAAAAGAGTGTTGGCCTTTAATGAGAGATGTTTTAAATGGGAATATCAATATTTTAGTTTTATGAGAAAATAGCTTAACTATTAGAGCTGCCATTGTTTTAACGGACTATGGAATGACTGAACATATGTGAATTGCTGTAGTCTGTCAGGCTTCTGTTAACAGAACACCACTGGTTGGGTGACTTCTAAATAAGACTTGTATTTCTCACAGTTCTGGAGGCTGGGAGTCTGAGATCTGGGTGGGGAGGGGGCGGGGAGCCAGCACCGTGGGGTCCTGTGAGAACGCACTTGTGGGTTGCAGACTGCTGACTTCTCCTGGGGGAGAGCGGAGCAGAGAAAGCAGGCTCTCTCGTGACTCCGAGCGTGTGTGTGCTCGGTCGTGTCCGACTCTTTGGGACCCCATGGACTGCAGTCCGCCAGGCTCATCTGTCCATGGGATTTTCCAGGCAAGAATACTCGGCTGGGTTGCCATTTCCTCCGCCAGGGGATCTTCCTGGCCCAGGGATTAAACCCGTGTCTCCTTCATTCTCTTGCTTTGGCAGGTGGGTTCTTTACCACCGTGCCACCTGGGAAGCCCAAGATGTGTATTTGTTTAAAATTTTGCAGATGGCTAGAATCCATTACTGCCACGGGGTGAAGAAACTGCAGGAGTTACATCAACTCCTGCTCCGTGTCTGAAACAGTGGAGCTCTTGGCGGCCATTCCTCTGACAGTTCTGCTTCCTGAAAGCAGCGTGTCTGGACT